CACCTCCTCCAAGCTGCCCGGCTAAGCGCTGACGACCAGCCGCTCTCCCTGAGCAGCTATCCCGACCGCCTCTCCCTGCGGTGTTTGTTGTGAATTGATAAGCACACCATTCCTCCCAGTTAGCCCCCAGCCCCTTTGCCTAGCCCTGTGCCGGCTCCCGGTGGGAGGAGAGCTCAGTGAGGGGGTGGGGTTACGGAAGCTGGTCGGAATTTGTCACCAGGAATTTTTTTTTTCAACCAAAAATGCTTTGAAATTTTCAGTTTTTTCCATGAAAAAAGCCAAATTCTTTTCAGTGTTTCATCCTTGGCAGCAGCACCGGGGAAAGGGGATGGTGGGAGGAGAGAGAAAACGGGGGGTGGGGGGGAGTGAACATCCAAAACACCTTTTTTTTTAAAACTGAAAGACATTGGAATTTGGAAAAACAAACAAACAAAAAAAACCAACCAGCCAAGCGGTTTGGCATTTTTCACGCAAGCCCTTCTGGGTAGGGAGCGAGTTGGTATGTTGTATTCTTCCCTAATGGAGTCTTTTAGGGTAGGAAATGCCTCAACTCCTTTAGGCAGTAACTTTCCTTTCCTCGCTCCCACAGCAACCTGCACTTTCAGCCTAGACGGCTAGACTGTGTCCCCTGAACTGCCTTCATCTCCACCCTACTTTCAGTTTGTCCTGGATGGATGTCCCCCAAGACCCACCTCTTTCCAAAACAGGGCTTTGCTAGCACACCGCCAGGGAGAGGCGAGAGTGTTTTCTGACTCTTTCTGCATAATTTCTATAGCTGTCAAAGGGGAGTTGGAACCAATCACCCCCCTGCCCACCCAGAGCAGTAAACTTCACTTTGATGTCCTTCTGCACTATACAGATACACTGAGTGACCGACAGTGAAACACATGTCTTTAAGGCACACATTTCAGGAGAACACAGCTGTATTGTGGAACACGCTCAGTGTCTAAGTAAACCATCTTTGATACACAGTGGTATCCACAGACCTCTAACCCACAAAGGACAAACTGCAAAGTTAAATAGGCTTACCTGGCGGGTTTGGTCCCAGCAGGTCTGGTCCAATCTAGCTACTCTTCTTTAGTTTAGCCTTCTCTAGGTGGATCCAGTTCACGGATCCTCACTTTATTTCCTAGACTAGATGAATATTTACATAGGAATCGCCAGACAGGATCAGAACTATGGTCTGTCTAGTTCAGACTCTCATCTCTAACAGTGACCTGCAGCACATGCTTCAAAGGAAAACACATGAAACCCCACAGTTGGCAGATGTATTTCTTGCTATCTTTCTATATAACATGATGGCCTTATGCAACCCTCTTGACGTTAGGATGACCTGTCCAGGCAACACCACGTTCTCCCAACATCTGTAGCCCAGATCAGTCCAGACAAAAGTAACCACCTTATAAATGTCTTTCATTCAAAATCAACTCAACCAGCACCAAGAAAATCAGCTTCTTGAGTGTCTTGGGTATGTAAATTTGCTAGCAATTAATGTAGTTCAATAAACGTAGCACAGGGCCGCTCGGGTCAGGAGAGAGGTGTGTGTGAGAAGAGCTACAAGGAGAAGATCCACCTGAAGCGTCACGAGACCCTCCACTTCTGGAGAAAGCCGTTCAAATGCAGGAAGCACTTCCTGCAGACATGGGTACTGATGATGCACCAGAGGACCCACACAGGTGAGAAGCCCTACAGCTGCAGCCAGTGCACCAAGAGCTTCAGCCAGCTCTCCAACTTCTTCTGGCACTGGCGCATCCACACCAGTGAGCGGCCCTTTCGCGGGCCCCCAGGGTCAGCGGTGCTTCAGCCTCCGCTCCGGCCTCACCACTCACCAGAAGATGCACACCAGGGAAGCCCTGCCTGTGCTGAGCACCAGGAAGGCCACTGCAGAGGGTTAGAGGAGAGGAGACCGTGGCCAAGTGAAACCCCTTGTCCCACCATGGAGATAGGCACTCTGGTCACACGTTGTGTGTGTGAATGGCTTACAGAGGGTGTAAATGACTCATGTGTGTGACTAACATGTCACAAGCATATTGTTATTTATTTATTATTTGTATTGTGGTAGCTCCTAGGATCCACAGTCACAGACCCCATTGTGCCAGGCGCTGTGCAGACGCAGAACAAAAGACCCGCAGAGCTGACGAGCAACAGGTATTCTCCCTAAGGCACTTAGCTGGCCCCCATCCCTGTCCTACTGGAGCACCTCACAATGTTTATCCTCACAGCGCCCCCATGAGATTGGGAAGTGCTATTGTCCCCGTTCTGTAGATCTGAGGGCACAGAGAGAGTCGGTGACTTGCCCAAAGCCACCCGTGGAATTTGTGCCTGAGTAGGGACCTGAACACGGGTCTCTCGAATCACACCTGGTCCACTGGGCCATCCTGCCTCTTAGAGAGGGCTCACAAGCACATCTGTAGAAGACGTTATAGCTGGTTATAAGCAACTTGTTGACCTGTTGGACTCTTTTAACAATTGATGACCCATTTTTTCAAACCTCTTTTAATCATTTATTAACACAGTTTATAAACTGTTGGTAAATGGAACTTCAGCATAAAGCATAAGCAACTTTCTCATAATTGTGCATGTAGATTTAAATAAGGCTTGAGGAGTGAAAACTGCTATGACAGAGGCCGAGAGAAACCAGCCTGATCTGCGCAGACATGCCAAACCTGCCATCCCCTTCAGTCTCCACCAGGAATTTCACATCAGCAGTAGACAAGGATTTTGGTTGGGTTCATGAGTGTGTTTCTCCATTTGTGGGGTGAAGGGTGTCCCATGATGTGCAGCTGACAGGGCATAAAATCCTCTCCTAATGTTGGTTTTTCATGCAAGCAATTGCTGGCATTGTCACAAGGGTGTAATGGGATTGCATCTGTGAGGGGGCGGTGTCCAGGAGGCAAACTGTCTGCTAACAAAACTGAGAATCCATGACTGAGCAGGCTCAGGTGAGCTGGACTTCTAGGTGAAAGGAGGAATTGCGTATGGAAGAACCTTGGCAAAGAGGAGTAGAGACCCTGGTATCACAGATCCAGGGTAGCACTAAGTAGGGGACTTATTCCCATATTGCAGGCCAGTGTATCAAACCTGAATGAAGTGTGGTTGCTGGACTAAAGGGAGCTGCGTGGCAACACTGGTGGAGCGATTGAGGATTGAGTCGCGAGAGTCTAGTCATGCAACAATTTGTAGTTCAGTTTTGAAGGAGAACCAGTGAGGTTTGAATTATGATTTTTTCCCTATAGTTTCCTGTATGTAAATATTTCCTTCTGAACTAGTGTAAATTGCCTCTCTCATTATTTGATCCATTTGGTTGATTTAACCTAGAGCTCTGAGTGTCTCGAATAGTCATAAAACTTCTTTCCAAATACCCTCTAGTGTTGTAATTAGAATTCCTTTATAGTTATGAATGTTCAGAGGGTCTAATCTCACAGTCAGCCACCTTCATAAGAACATAAGAATGGCCCTACTGGGACAGACCAGAGGTCTGTCTAGCCCAGTACCCTGTCTTCCGACAGTGGCCCATGCCAGGTGCCCCAGAGGGAATGAACAGAACAGGTAATCATCAAGTGATCCATCCCCTGTCACTCATTCCCAGCTTCTGGCAAAGAAGTTATGTGGTACTCTGTTACATCTAATATGAGAGGGTCAAGAAGACAGCTCTTGCCCTCAGTAATATCCAGGCCAAGCTATGGGTTCGGTGGGTAGTTCAAACACATTTCAGATTGCTCATTAGCAAAGCCACTACTCGTTTTGGTAGGGAGGCTGTTGTGAAACACTTGGTTATGGAATCAGGATATGGAGATCATGTCACCCATCCTACCTCCCTACCACTGGAGGATTGTTTCCCAGGGTACATAGTGTGACAAAGTTCCTCCTCTACCTTGGTGGGTCCTGCGCTTATTGGCGGATTTTCTCGCCTCACAGATTCACCATGTGGGTCGGGAAACAGCCCAGAGACCTTCCCCTCTGGTAGAAGCCATAGTCCAGGTCAATTCCTCCTGTGTCTGATCAGGAGTTGGGAGGTTTGGGGGGAACCCGGGCCCGCCTTCTACTCCAGGTTCCAGCCCAGGGCCCTGTGGACTGCAGCTGTCTAGAGTGCCTCCTGGTACAGCTGCGCGACAGCTACAACTCCCTGGGCTACTTCCCCATGGCCTCCTCCCAACACCTTCTTTATCCTCACCACAGGACCTTCCTCCTGGTGTCTGATAATGCTTGTGCTCCTCGGTCCTCCAGCAGCACACCCTCTCACTCTCAGCTCCTTGCACCTCTTGCTCCCAGCTCCTCGCATGCACACCACAAACTGAAGTGAGGTCCTTTTTAAACTCAGGTGCCCTGATTAGCTAGCCTGTCCTAATTGATTCTAGCAGTTTCTTAATTGGCTCCAGGTGTCTTAATTATCCTGCCTGTCTTAATTGGTTCTAGCAGGTTCCTGATTACTCTAGTGCAGCCCCTGCTCTGGTCACTCAGGGAACAGAAAACTACTCATCCAGTGACCAGTATATTTGCCCTCTTCCAGACTCCTGTACCCCACTGGTCTGGGTCTGTCACAATAGTTTTAGCTACTAGATTGTCCTCAGGTCTATGGCTTCACTGCAGGCTCAGGAAAAGGAGCCAGAAAGGAGCATGAGTCCTTATTTCAAGCAAATGCTGTGACTTGAAAATGAAACAAAACAATGGGGTTTGGGGCTGGCGTCCAAAGGCATTGCATCACGCAATGGGGACTTGGTAGTACTTCTCTCTCTGGCAATGGAGAGACTAGTACGCTGCATTCAACCCTGGGCACCGTGGTACCTGAATGATGTTGATCCAATAGAAAGAATATGAAGAGGTGCAACCAAAATGATTTGAAGGCAGGAATCGTCCCAAGGAAAGAACTAAGCATGCATCCAGCTAGGATATGTTTGTGCTGTGTCTAGAACACAAGGGCCCTGAGTCTGATGGAGACACCTGGAAGCTACAGTACTATTATTATAGGAAAAGAATAACAGCAAAAAATATGGTCTAACTTCTTTGTCAAAATAGTTTATTTAACAAAACAGTCTTGAGTGCACAAAAGACTTCTGGCATGTTCAAAACGCATGCAAATTAGAGAAGCAAACTCAGTTAATTTGAATTGCATAAGAAAGAGAAAGGGGATATGAGCCCAGGTCTTGATATTTGTTAACCCGCATTAAAAATTGTACTCTTAAATGGGTTTTTCCTTCACAAATTGACCCCTCTCCACCTTAAAAATCAAACCAATCTAAAGTACATCTGATTGCTGTGATATTAAGTTGGAGGGAAGACAGCATCCTGAAAACCTATGGGCCAGATTCTGATCTAAGTAACACCAGTATCAATCCAAAGTAACTCCTCTAGCTTCAGTGGAACTCAGCTCAGAATTGGGCCCTAAGACCTAAACACTCTCTCCTACACTGGACTATGGCGACAATGTAACTTTGAAATTCAAAGCTTCATTGTCTGTTGAATCTGTGTCTGCTCTCCCCAGTCTAGTTAAACGTCCTCTAGTTTCAGTCACATTTCCTGTGCTGCTTGGTGTACTGGCATCATAAGGAACCTTAGCGTTATGCATTTTAGGATCTTACCAATGTGCATTAAACATGACTGGAAAGGCTGTCACCCTTTAAACACTATCACACTTTCACCATCTTATGAAACGGTAGCACATTAGGAACTGATTTCCCTCCCCCATCCCCATTAATGCTTCTGGATACAGAACTATGAGCAAAACATCGTTCGTCATGAAAGTCACAAAATGGTATTTGGTGCAAGAAACTGACCACACCAGAACCAATAGATACACGAGTCAGTTCACATAAACGCAGAGATTATATTCACAAAAGAAAAACAATGCTAAGACCATCAAATGTAAATGAAAATAATCCACAACACTTTTTAGACACCATGAAAGACACTAAGCTCCAGGATGTTGTGGCCTCTATTTAGAAATCAAACTGAAATACATTTTCCAATAACTCTGTTCCCACATCTCCCAAATATATCAGAAGATCTACAAATCAACAGCCCAGGCGCCCAAGTGGCAGAATGCCTTTAGACAAATTCTGTACTTAATGAGGTCAAGGTCTTTGTTGCTTCATGTGCCTTTGACTGCTGTACAGCTAGTACCCACAGGAGCCTAAGTTAAAGCAGGGGTTAACCCCATGTGATACTGGTATTACAGTGCACCTGCTGGGCTGATGATTTTCTATTAACATCTTTCATAATGGAAGAGTTAGCATGGACTCAGCAGTACAGTGGTGTGTTCCACTTAGATACACCTAGAACATCCAGCAGCACAGGGGTGTTCCACCTAGATACACCTAGAACATTCAGCAGCATGAGGGTGTTCCATCTAGATACACCTAGAACATTCATCAGCACGGGGAGGTGTTCCACCTAGATACACCCAATACATTCAGCAGCATACTAGGCGTGGTCTACCTAGACACATCTGATACATTCAGCAGCAGAGCAGGTGTGTTCTACCTAGCTACACCTGGCACATTCAGCAGCTCAGCAGGTATGTTCTACCTAGATATACCAAGCACATTCAACAGCTGTGCTCCACCTAGATATTCCCAGAATTCTCAGCAGCATAACAGGCACATTCTGCCTGGATGTGTCTGGTACATTCAGCGGCATGGCAGGTGCATGACACCCGGACATACCTGGAATAGCCAGCAGCAGGCAAGCACTGCTAACAAACTGTCTAGCATAAGTGATCTTTGCTGTGTAGAAGAATCATAATGGAAAACATTGTGCTACTTTGATTGCTTCAGTGAAAAGGCGTGTGTTGTGTGTGGCTGATTAAAAAGACTATGGTAGGCATTAAGGAAAAATTACCCTAACTTCATCACTGCAGATTCCTGGGTTTATTACATCTCCCCCGAGCATCTGTGGAACTGGTGTCTGCCCAGCGGCAGAGCTGTTCCTACGAAAGTCACCCAATGAGTGGGCGTTTCCTCTGTACCCACAGACACAGAACAGTGCAACCAACAAAGGTAGCATGCACTGGTCACTTTCGACAGCAAGCCAGGCAGAGTAGCGAGTTCATTGCAATGAACCACTCGCTCAAGGCCCAAAGTATGGCCCTTTGCAGCTCAGAACGCTCTCTCCTAGGTGTGGACAAAAGTTTTCTTTTGGAGCGTGCTCATTTGAGTCCTTCCTGTGAGAGAATGCCTCGCTCTAAAATCCTAACTGTGCCAAGTCTCTCCCTGCAGGGGCCACCTACCCTACGGAAGCCCATATCAATATATCAAGGCCGCGTACTGCAAAATCAGCATAGAATTCCTAACAGCGTGTTTTGCATTTTTAAGACCGCAGATTCAGATAAAGCAAGTTAGGGTTGCTTTAAGCTACTCGGTGTCTGATATATTTGCCCTCTGATCATAAAGACTGGAGACTTTAAATACATGTCCCATAGCTCATATTCACTGTGGTTATAACCACAGTGAGTATCAATCCTTTGAGGATTTTAGTCAATGCTGCATATATCACAATGCACAGGGGCATGCGTAGACCCCTCCATGATACATGCTATACATTCTGCCACACTATTAGCACATAGCAGAAAAAATTGGCTTGTGTCTGAGATGGCATGATCTGAGCCATTCATAGGAGTAGCATACAAAGCGCTAATTTGGTCTTCCACTGAAAAAGCAAGACTCTATCAGTGCCTTTTCTCTTGCATGAGCAGGAAGATGGCCACAAATGGCTTTTCTTGTATCTCCTGTCGTTCAAGATACATGCAAGACTGACTTCCATTGGACACAAACGTAGCATGGCTCCTTCTGGCCTGGTGAGAGGGAGGCTTACCTGGGACAGTTACTGTCTATGCACCATGAGAGTCCCAGTTACAGTCCCGTCTGTAGTAATGTGCAGATGGTGCACGTAACGCTCCTGTACTGAGTGTGATTGTGCCTCCCTCTAGTGACTGGCTTAGCAGCCTGCTACTTCCAGAGGAAAGATTTCTCTTTCAGTGAGAGTGGCAGAGGCCTGCGTTTTGTCTTGGGTTCAGTCCCCACGGATGACTGTGGTAGCCATAGGTGAACATGGCCAAGGTACGTTACACACTGGGTCCAGTCACTGGTGCATGCTGATTGTGTCTGTCAATTCTAGCCCCGGCTACTGTGTGACAGACACATCAGGTGCCCTATTGAACAAATGTTATTTATAGCTCCAGTTACCTACAACTCTGCCTAGAAGACACACACACACACTACATTTCATCTGATAGCCACACAATGGATTTTTTTTTAAACAGCAAAGATGTATATACTCTGATTCCATCCTGGGGCACTATCATTCAACAGCCTCCTCTACCCCAGCCCCAGCTCAGTGCTATATTCCAAGGGAAATCTTTTACTGGCTCCGTATGGTTTTGAGAGACCGGCTAGAAGACCTGGCTATCACGTGAGCACCGGGGATCAGAAGTGGAGGCTGCTGTTATTGCAGGGAGTAACGTCTGAAAGACTCATGAAGTGGCTGGGGGGTCTGGTATCTCTGTGCTGTTGCTGGAGCTTGTGGGGAGGTCACTGAGCGGTATTATGAGCAGTCTTGGAACACTAAGGGAAGGATTTTCAAAGCCACCCAGAGATCCAGTTCCCATTCACTCATGTCTAATGGGACCTGCTCATCCAAATCTCTCTCTAAGGCATCAGGGTCACTGGTTTACTGCAGCAGGTCTGTAACCAGAAATGACACTTAGGTACCAAACCCCCAGTGCACACATTTGTCGGGGCAAGCGGGGTGGGATGGGGGAATCTATTCTTCACTGTGTTCCCATCCGTTTCACTGTGCAATCATCAGCCCATACTTTGAACAAAGCAGGCTCCTTTTCTTCTCCCGTTCTGCTAGGAAACGCCTCAGCTTGGCGGTGGAGAAAGTGACCACCGCTTGCTGTCTGTCATCCAAACCCGTCTCCTGGAGCCATGGAAACTGAAGGCATTCCGATCCCGACGGCCTCCCCCTAGGATAGGAAGAGAGCTAAAGCATCAACAAGCGTCTGGCTCAGATGGAGACATGCAGTGAGAGGAAGCTAGGTAGCTGGCTAGAGAGAGAGAGAAGAGAGCAGAAACTGGGCTCTGCATAGTTTGCATGCTGCAAAGCAAACATCCTCTTACCAGGGATTTGCGCACAGCGTGCTTTGAAGAAATGTCACGGCCCCCCCAGACAGACCCGCGTAGCATCTGGTAAGTTTCACCTTCCCTTTTTTGGCGATTCTCGGAAAGTCACAGGCCACCTCAGAACTGAGGGGGTAGTCGGCACTCAGCCTAACACAAAAAAGGAGGGTAAATCGACACGCGAGGGGAAAGGCCTCTTTGTAAATGCAATTTTCTGTTCCCAGTTCCTTTCTAGGCACTCCTGGGAAGTGCTGTGCTAGCGCGAGGAAGCAGACCACACCTGTGCTGAGAAGCATTGTATGGGAAGAGGAAATGGAAGAAGAGATGATTTATTGGAGGAAGGGTTTAATTAGAATGCTTTGTTTGTCTTTTTACTTAGCCCAGGTCAACACTGGGGGTGGGGGGAGAATCGACCTAACATACACAACTTCAGCTACGAGAATAGCGTAGCTGAAGTCGACGTATTTAGGTTGACTTACCGCGGCGTCTTCACGGTGCTGAGTCGACTGCTGCCGCTCCCCCTTCGACTCCGCCTGCGTCTCTCGCGGCGGAGGAGTACCGGAGTCGACAGGAGAGCGCTTGGGGATCGATTTATCGCGTTTAGTCTAGACGCGATAAATCGACCCCTGATAGATCAATCGTTACCTGTCAATCCGGTGGGTAGTGTAGACCTGCCCTTAGTGTAGTTTTAATGTGCTTGCGTTGGTTGAGTTTTATTGGAGAGCTGAGCCATATACAAAAGGTGGGTGTGGGTTGATTCTGTGTTGCAACATGGCCCCTTGACACCAATCCTGCTGTGCAAAGGGCCTATAAAGGCAGCCCATTGTTGCTCTCCTCTGGACTTTCTCCAATTTGTCCACATCCTTCCTGAAGTGTGGTGCCCAGAACAGGACACAATACTCCAGTTGAGGCCTTATCAGTGCTGAGTAAAGCAGAAGAATTACTTCTCACGTCTTGCTTACAACACTACTGTTAATACATAGAATCATAGAAATTTAGGGCTGGAAGGGTCCTTGAGAAGTCATCAAGTCCAGCCCCCTGCACTGAGGCAGGGCCAAGAAAACCTAGACCATCCCTGACAGATGTTTGTCCAACTTGTTTTTAAAAAACTTCCAAGATCTCCTGGTTAAGCCATTGTGGTGTCTTACCATAATCTTATCATACTTCCTATCTCTCCTACACATTGGGATAGTTTGCTCTTGTGCCCTTAATAATGTCTCTTTAAAAAACTGCCAACTCTCCTGAACTCTTTTCCCTTATATTTGCTCCCCACAGGATCTTAACTATCAATTCTCTGAGTTTGGTAAAGTTTACCTTTTTGAAATCCATTATCTTTAGTCTGCTGTTTTCCCTCCTACCATTCCCTAGAATCGTGAACTCTACCATTTCATGATCACTTTCACCCAAGCTGCCTTCCGGTTTCAAATTCTCAACCAGTTCCTCCCTGTTTGTCAGAATCAAATCCAGAACAGCCTCTCTCCTAGTAGCTTTCTCCACCTTCTGCAATAAACAGTTGTCTCCAATGCAGTCCAAGAACTTGTTGGATAATCTGTGCCCTGCTGTGTTCTTTTCCCAACAGATGTCTGAGTAGTTGAAGTCCCCCATCACCACCGAGTCCTTTCGCTTTGGATGATTTTGTTAGTTGTTCAAAAAAAGCCTCATCCACCTCTTCTTCCCTGGTTAGTTGGTCTATAGTAGACACCTACCATGACATCACCCTTGGTTTTTAGCCCTTTTATCCTTATCCAGAGACTTTCAACAGGTCTGCCTCCCTCTTCTATCTCAACCTCAGTGCAAATATACACATCTTTGATATACAAGGCAACTCCCCCTCCCTTTTTTCCTGCCTGTCCTTCCTGAACAAGCTATACCCTTCTATACCGATATTCCAGTCGTGAATGAACCCCAACAGGTTTCTGTGATGCCAATTGTGTCGCCATTGTGATTATTCACTAGTATTTCTAGTTCTTTGCAAGGGAACTACTTACATGATGAAAGCGGTGATGCCGACAGCCCAGATGTCAGTCTGCGGGAGGGCTCCTTGCTCTGACAGCAGTTCTGGAGCTACAAAGGCACAGCGGTGTGAGTGGAGTTGATGCATGACACCCCATGAACATCCTGAGTCATTTAAGAACCCAAACAAATGGAGACCTATGAACGCATCTCTAAAAAGCGTTGTCGTTACTAGGTATATATTGCACATCTAGTGCTGTGTTCATTGCTTTTGCCCATGCAGTGACTGCACTGTGTGCATTTTATGGGCATGACTCTCCTCTCACTTACACTGGGGTAAATCAGAAGTAACCCTGTTAAAGTTAATAGTTACACTGGTGTAAATCAGAAGGGACTGTGCCCACTGTCTGCAGCACGTACACTGTACACTCGCTAGCTCTGCCCCTCCATGCTCAGGATGAGACATTGTGCTTCACAAGGGTTGTCTCACATTTTAAATCAACTCAACGTGAGATTTATGAGTTACCCATTCAATTCATTGAATTCAACGGAATGAGCACGCTGGGAAGGCTGCTGTGTCCACGCAGTTCTACCCACTGCACCAGCCAATCGCAGGCCAGGGCTAGCACACAGGCAGCCTGAATTCACTCCAGCATCATCCAGACCAGGAAATTCAGGGTGAATTCTGGACACTGCAAAAACATCCAGTTCTATAACCGCCATTATAGCACAAGTGGGAATAATGTAAGAGAATGCAGACTGACCCCCATTTCCTGTTAGCTAGCAACCAACAGGAGCATCTGCCAGGCAATGAATGGGAGCATCTTCAAACACGTCTGTAAAGTGTCGCTCCCACCATTGTCCCAGTCTGACCTTCCATCTAGCGGGGGCCTGAGGCCATGCTGACGTAGCGCTGACATACCGTACTCACCCATGGTTTCTACGTAGTCAATGCACCTGTCCATGGTAATGACTCTGTCTGGCGAGTAGAACTGCGCGTTGCCAAAGTCCAGGAGTTTAAGCAGGTTGGGTTCAGTAATGATCATGTTTTCAGACCTCAGATCCAAGTGCAGGATGTGGTGTGCGTGGAGGAACTCAACTGCACTGAGGATCTGCCATAGGTAGTCTCTGACCTCCACCTCTGAGTAGGATGTCCTGGTAAAGGAAACAGTAAAAATCATAATTTTCCTTCCTGCGTATTTTAACGGCCTGATCCTGCTTCCACTGAAGTCAATAGGAAAATTCCCATTAAGTCCTAATATGATCAGGAACAACAACAATACTCTGCACTTTTCATCAGCTTCAGATACTTCACAAATATTATTCATTAATCCTCACGCAGGGCCGCTCAGAGGACTCAGGGGGCCTGGGGCAAAGCAATTTCGGGGGCCCCTTCCATAAAAAAAAGTTGCAATACTATAGAATACTATATTCTCGTGGGGGCCTGGGGCAAATTGCCCCACTTGCCCCCCCCTCTGGGCGGCCCTGTCCTCACGAAGCTCCACTGGGGGTAGGTAAGTAAGTATTGTTATGCCTGTGATACAGATGGAAACCTGAGGCAAGAAATTAAGTGACTGGGCTACAGAGGGAGTCAGTGGCAGAGTGGGATCAGAATGCAGCTCCTGTGCTTAGATCAGGGGCTTAGCCCTCTTACTCATAAGATGTCATCTGATCAGTTTTCAGCCAGCAGGGGGAGGCGGAAGGAGAAATGGGAATAGGTGGAAAGGCTGCCTGAACCACACACAATCCCCATGCCATCTATTGTACATTTACACCTTAAAGGTAGGATTTACGCTCAGCCAGAATGAGCACAGAATCATAGAAGATCAGGGTTGGAAGGGACCTCAGGAGGTCATCTAGTCCAACCCCCTGCTCAAAGCAGGGCCAGTCCCCAACCAATCCTCTTTATGGCCACTCGAGAGCTGGGATTTAACAAGAGACTCTGGGAATCAAGGCAGCGAACAGACTCATTAAAATAATTGACGCCCTCCATCTCTGGTGGAGGAGAGAAAGAAACTGTGATGCTCCACAGGTACTGATTTGTGGCTGATCCATGGAAGCCGAAGAGCCGAACGAGTTTCAGGGGAGTACAGGAGGTGTATCACAAGTATAGTACGAGATTAGACTGGGGGAAAACGTGGGCGGAAGAAGATGCTCCAGAATGAAGAAGTGGGCAAAAATCCACAGTACAGATGCCTCACTAGCTAACCCAGCCTCAAACAAAGCAGGTACGGCGGGATGCGTACCTTTCAGCCAAACAATGGAGTAGCTCTGGCCCCACGCACAATTCCAGGATCAGCACTAGGTGCTGGGGGCTCACGTAGGCTCCTTGCAGCTGAACGATATGTGTGTGATGAAGCTTCCTTAGGACTTGATATTCCTGGAGCACAGCCTGCTTGTCTTCTTGCCGGTAGGGGATAATTTTGGCAGCCTGCGCATTTCCGCTTAATTTTTCCCTGCACTGTCTGACGATGCTGAAACGCCCCCTGGAGCAACAAAAGTACAAGGGCAAGTTAAACTTCTCCGGCTGCTCTTGGAACAAGGTAGCCTGAGCCAGGTTCTGCCCTACCTTAGAATCAACAGCATCCTACTGCTTATTTTGCATCCAGACCCTGTGGTGAAAACCATGATCATGCTGGGCTGGTAGGAGAGAACGTAAGTCTGCACCTCCTTAAAGTGAAAGTGTACGGCTACTTTTAATGGCAGCAGCAAAAGCCTGACCTCTAATGCCTGTGAATAATATCCGCAATGCACAGGTGCAATGATGGGTGTGTTTACACTTGGAGCTGGGGGTGTGACCGAGCCAGCACGCTAAAAACAGTGTCGCCGGAGTAGCACAAACGGTGTCAGCATGGGCGAATCGTGCTGACTACAAACCTGCCTGAACTCCATGGGTACGTACTCAGCTCACGGCTGCCCATGCTACCCCGGCTACACTACTATTCTAGCGTGCGAGCTCGATGACAGCTAGCACGAATACGTCTCAGTGAACTGGGACTCGCCCCCGAGCTCACAAGCGTAAAGGGAGCCTAAGAGAGAATCCTTTACCAGCCCAGAGGACAGCTGGGCTGTACATGATTGGGCTTCTTAACAAGAATCCAGTGTTTAGATCCCAAATTTGGATTCAGTGTCTTTTACCTTTTAGGACACTGGCTAATTCCCAGATGTGAAATTCCTTGGGGATGGGCTAATGTTGGGGGCAGCCTCTACAAGATGATGGGGACTCTTGCCTGGAGTGAGCCCTGACTGGCCCCATCTTCTTCACCATCCTGCCTCTTGGAAAGCCCCTCTCCTCTGCCACAGTGTGGGGTACAATAAGGACAATGAAATTCTGGTGACCTATGGGTCTGTTACAATTGGTGTCCAGCTATTGGATTTGAATTGCTATGAACCCCACGTGCTCAACGGTGAGCTTTATCTACCTGGAAGGAGTGGGCTCTGCCCTGGTTGGTGAGTACGTGTATGGAGTTAGTGAGCAACGTACACATTTGAGCAGGGTCTGGCTCAGGATTCATTTAATGTTGGCAATATCAAGTCAGACAAGAGGAGGGCAGCCAAGCAATGCCCAATATCCTGAGCTACTGGAGATGTTTTCATTAAAACAAAGTGGTAAGTGGGCAGGCAACAGGTGGGTGGTCGGTAGGTTTATAAAAGTGACATTTCCGAGTTTTAGGGTCCAAACTGAAGCCGCATGCAGCATTTTCTCCTGAACATCTGAGTGTGTAACTGGGGGTTTCTGGCCTTTATACCTTTTGATCTCTGTTTGGAAGGCGTAGGTTTGCTGGGTTGGAAAAGGCTCTGCTGGTGCCATTACTTCACGCTCACCCTCTGTAGCAGCTGGGAACGTCTGCTTTGCAGATTGAAACGCTAGAGGGAAAGAGAGACATGGATGTAGAAGAGAAAACAACACTGGGTTCAGTTCAGATCCTTGCTTTGTCATCCCTGGGTATCTTCTTGTCAATAGGGAGGCAGACAGGCAGCTACCGTATTTCAGACTCCAGCAGGCACATTTGTGAGATGTCTCACACTAGAGGCACCAAATCACGTTCTAGTGCAGCGGTTCTCAAACTCTGGGTCGGGACCCCATTTTAATGGGGTCGCCAGGGCTGGCTTGGACTCGCTGGGGCCCAGGGCTGAAACTGAAGCCTGAGCCCCACCACCCGAGGCTGAAGCCTGAGGGTTTCAGCCCTGCGTGTTGGGACTCGGGTTATAGGCCCCCCGCTTGGGGCTGAAGCTCTTGGGCTTCAGTTTTGTCCCCCCCTCCACCGCCCGGATCAGTGGGGCTGGGGTGGGCTCAGGCTTCGGTCCCCACTCCTGGGGTCGTGTAGTCATTTTTATTGTCAGAAGGGGGTCGCGGTGCAATGAAGTTTGAGAACTCCTGTTCTAGTGCAAAGAAACACCTTCAGGATTGAACACAGGGCTACTGACACTGGAGCTGGAGGCATAATGTCCAGCTCGGGTGGACATTCACAGGTTAGCTCTGAACAAGCCAGCACACTAAAATCAGCAGTGTAGCTGCCACGGCACAAACCACCCCAAGTATGTACCTAGGTCTCTGACAGGATTGTACTCAGGGCAGCTAGCTCGTCATGCCGCTCAAGCTCCGGCAGCTACACTTCTATGTTTAGCGCGCGAGCTCAATCAGAGCTAGCATGGGTATGTCTACCGGAGCTGGAAATTCCACCTCCAGCCCCAGTGTAGACATGTCCCATTAAGAGTTTCCTCTGGTCTAGCCTATTACATAGACAGTCAGATTAGAGGACCAGTGGATCTAATGGAAGAATTCGTTACTCTATCTCACTGCAAATGGCGAGCAATTAGTCTATATTAGCCTAGCCGCTGGTTCTCAACCTGCCACCTGGTCACAACCCTCAATGAAATGGCAAGACATTGCCTGGTGACTGGCAACCGGCTTCTACTCCATGTTTCATTACATCAGCTGAAGCAGACTGTCTTACGTCACTTGAAATTGGCTCTTCCTGAATATTCCTCTGGAATAGGGAGCATCGTATGAACCATTATGTCACCTTCTTGGAAGCATTGTGTGTATTGGCATAAAGCAATGTGGAGCGTGGCTCCGGAGAGATTGTGAGACCACAGTATGAAAATGGTTGAGAATCCCTGGCCTAAGGCAAGCATACAGGGTGAGGATTGGTAAATTACATTGAGATGGGCAGGGCTATTTCTCTGGTGTAGTGGAATCCTTTCAATTGGCGGAAAGAGAAATGATATCCCAGATAGGCCATTATCTCAATTCTCAGAGGAATGCTTTCAGCTGCTGGGAGAGTCCTTGTCATTTAATGGATTTCTTTAAAAATAAGCAACAATACAAACAAAGCATTAAACTATAGAGAAAAACTATGTTGGGATAAGTTTGACTTAGTGAAATAGCCCAAAATGAACACAGGGAATTTTACAGAAGCAAACACCAATTCACATCAATTAACTACTGAGTTGTGGCTTGTAGACAGCACCAGGGCCACAGCATTTCAATGGACTTTTCACCACTTCCATAGGTGTACTATTAAGCCCACGCGTCACACAACTGAAACACATTACTCTGATTCTGTTCCCTGGCGAGCACCCGAATTAAATGAGCATGTCGGAGAGCCCATTAAGTGGTCTCTCCTGTACAAGTGATCTACAGTTTCAACCCCGGGATGCCAAGACTAGGAGTTCTTACAACTCATCCCGCTGTCAGCTAAGGGACTATCTGTGAACAACAGCACCTAGGATTCAAAACCCTAAAACACACTGGAGGCAATGGAGTTCCTCCAGACTGATGCTCCACTTCCCCTGAAGTACACACGAAGAAGGTGCAATAGTGAGATGTTCTACCACCACCCAATAGCTTACCTGTTTGGACTTTTTCACCAATCTTTACTTTGGCAGACGGGCTGCTGTAAGGTCCCATTCCTGCTTTACTGATGCAGGCCGTCCGGAAGGAGTAAACCAAGTCCCTGGAGAGATTACTGGCATAGTAGCAGCAATCAGCCAAGTCAGTAACAAGGGTCTTCCATTCACCGTCTTGTCCAAGCAAAGAGAAATACAGGTTAGCACTTGTTCTAGGGATTATCGGGTGTCTTTTTTGCCGCCAATTACGACTGTTCTGGGAGTACAGAAAATGGGTGGCATATTTAAATGAAGCAGCCACATAGAAATGGGGCTGAAAGTATAACCTCACATTGCCTTGTCATGTTTGTAGTGACTTCATATTTTCACTTCTGAAGCCAGGTATTTTATATTAGAGCCATGCAACGTTCATTGCAGGGGGTTGGCTGTGAATGCGTTTGTAGTTTCAGTTCATGTAATTTCATATCTATCCTCCCTGAGTTCCACTTTGAGATTTGAGGTTCAAACATGAATCCCAAACTCAAAACAAAACCCTGCTCAAAAAACCGCTGTATTTTACTCCGCTTCATGATGAAAGCAAGCAAAACTGAAAACATCACACAACTATAATTAAGAACTATAAATAAATCCCCAGAATAATTTAAACCTGGGCCCAAGCTCACTCAAGGTTTGTGAAACTCAAATGACCTTTCAAGGACTCCAGTAGGAGTTTTAGATTTGTAATAGAGAGCCCTGTGGCACCTTTAAGACTAACAGAGTATTGGAGCATAAGCTTTCGTGGGTGAATACCCACTTCAATTTGATTTGTGGGTGAATACCCACTTCCCCCACGAAAGTTTATGCTCCAATACATCTGTTAGTCTTAAAGGTGCCACAGAACTCTCTGTTGATTTTTACAGATCCAGACTAACATGGCTACCCCTCTGATACTAGATTTGTAATGGAATCCCAATGCGGGTGAGTCTCGTGTGATTCTGAGTTTTGTTGAGAACATTTCACACAACTCTACTTTTTATACATTCCAGTTTGCATACTGAAGTTACACATCGTGTTATATCGTATTGTTGTGTCACCAGGGAAATGGATACACCACAGACCCAGGGTTAGGGAACAACAGGAACAGATTTATTCAGGTATAAACCCTCATAGAGGAACAACTCCCTACCTAGCTCATGGCTATCCAGAATGAACTACATATGCAGATACATCCGTGGTTCTCAAACCTATATAATTGCACTCTGCTTCTTTGTGTAGTAGTTTACACACACACCCCGCCACACAAGTACATATACTGATAAAAAAAAAATCAACATGCAACTCTCACTCAACATTAAAAACAGAAAGACATTGATTCAAACAGAGCCATTTAAGTATATGGCAATGTAAATTTTAAGTGAGATACTGCTTACTGTTATCACACTGTTGTTACCAGTGCAATGGGTTTGCCTATTTTTTGGAACACAGCAATTCCCATCCTGGGTTGGATGCTTGAAACAGCCCTCCAGAGATCCCCTTTTACCTTCCATTAAATGGGCACACCGCGCCGTAGCAAACAGATTAATGTACAGATGGCAATGACTTTGTGTAATGTTGTGCCAGCTTATCAGAAATCCGTCAGAATCACAGCACCATCTAGAGTCCAGTACAGAGTGCCATCCAAGGACCTGATATGATTCTGGACAAATCAGCTTTGCTAGTTATTCATTGCTGTGGGCAAAATGTGCACAGTATGTTCCCCCCCCCAAAAAGCGTCTCATGCCCCCTTCCCCCCAGAATACATTCCACGCCCCCAGGGGGACCCACCCCCCAGTTTGAAAACCTCTAATATCATACACAGATCTAGAGGGAGGCACGTAGGAAAACTGGGCCCAACTAAGCTGGGTGAAATTTTTCGGACAAAACTTTTTTCTGACCCAAAAATGCTGAATGGTGACGTCTAAATGTTTCATGAATTTATGTTGATTTTACTGAACTGTTTCAACGGAAAAGAAGCTAAAAAAAATCAGAAAAGGTCAAAACATTTTATTTCAACATTTCAAAATCAAACCTGCTGAGTTTTGTTTAAAACAGTTTTGCCTTTCAAAATTTTATTTTGACCATTTTTAAGCATTTTGAATAAAAAAAATAATAAAAAATGTTTTAAAATGGTCAAAATAAAATCATTTTATTTAATTAATGCCAAAACAATGTTTGACCTGAAATTAAATTAAATTTATTTTACTCTACAGTTCTCCCAAAATTTCAAAAATCTTTGCTTTGGCTTGACCCAAAATGATCTTTTCCCCTTGATTTTTTAGAATTGCCAGGTAATCAAAAATCCGTTAGTTGCACAGCTCTAGGCCCAATGTGGTTGTGACCTGTAGGTCCTACTGCAAGATAAATATTTAATATTATTGTTAACAATAGGAACTCAGAGAGGTCAGGCTCTAAAGGCTCAGATCCAAGGCCAGCTGAAGTAAATGGAAAGATTCCCAGTGACTTCAGTGGGCTTTGCATCAGGCTCTGAATGAGTCAGGCAATCCAAATAATATATGATTAGGCCTGGTCTACACTGGGGTGGGGGGATCGATCTAAGTTACGCAACTTCAGCTATGTGAATAACGTAGCTGAAGTCGACGTAATTAGATCGATTTACCGCGGTGTCTTCACCGTGGTGAGTAGACTGCTGCCGCTCCCCAGTCGACTCTGCCTGCACCATTCGCGGCACTGGAGTACAGGAGTCGACGGGAGAGCGCTCAAGGGTTGATTTATTGCGTCTAGACTAGACACGATAAATCGATCCCCACTGGATCGATTGCTGCCCGCCGATCCGGCCAGTAGTGAAGACATACCCTCAAGGTATAACTATCTCTGAATCAAGGAGATTATCATTGCACAGATCTTGTAAAGTCAGATGTCTCTTCAATAGGATTCTAATGGGAAACTGTAAGTTCTTTGGCGCATGGACTGTCTTTTTATTTTGTTTGTACAGCACCTAGTACAATGAGGCCTTGATGCAGGACTGTGGCTCCTAGACACTACGATACTACTACTACTAGATAATCATGATAACAATAACGAGAAGTGGAGACTATCAAGTTCTGCTTTACCTTCGCTCTTGCACTGTACAGTATACGTAACCACGGTGTTAGATTCCACAGGTTTCCAGACCACTTGCACTCCATCCTCGTACACCTCCACAATATCAGGGGCTGGGGGGCTAGCAAGAACTTCTGTGACGGAGGCATGCAAAATTAGACAATAGACAGACATGAAGGCTTAGACCCCTCTCCCTCTAACCGATGAGTAATTTTACAGTTGCAGATATTCTTCCATTCCAAACAACTGATCCTTTTTGGAATGGTAAACTCCGTTTGCCTGATTTCAAACCTATCAAAAACTTGGAAGTTTGACTCAAACTAGAGGAGAGACTCAAACTTAGGAGAGACTCTGAAAAAAGGAGCAGAAAGAACGAACTCAAGGCAAATTACAGCAAGCACGGCAGAAACAAACACAGAGAGACTCTGTATAAGGAGCAGAGATAGGGAAGAGAGAAAAATTCCATGGAAAATATAAACACAATCAGTCAGATGCATGCTTGGTGTAAACTCCATCAACTTCAACAGACTTACATCATGGAAGAATCTGACTCAGTATATACAATGAATACAAGCTATGCATTTGCACCAGCCTAGTTCTGGGAGATAGGTGAATTCTTCTGTAGGTAAAAACATGTTTTGGTTGTTTTCTAAAAAGGAATCATCCTTGAAAAAAACCAGGAGTTTAAAAACTTATGCAAATTTGAACTAGTTTTGTGAACATCAGTTTACTAGCCATCAAATTCTATAAGATCTGCCTATCCTTACTTCTGAATGTCACTTGCTTTCGTTTTTATAATGATCTTACTTGCTAAAAAAATAAATGGTATTTGTATTTCCAGCCTCTATGTTCCAAGGTCTTCCAGTTTCAACCATCTAAATTAAGGTTTCTACACTACGGTCAATGCATCAGCTTTCACCAAGGCACCTTGAAGCATCTGTACTATTTAGGGTGACCAGATGTCCCGATTTTATAGGGACTGTCCCAATTTTTGGGTCTTTTTCTTATATAGGCTCCTATTACCCCCCACCCCCGTCCCGATTTTTCACATTTGCTGTCTGGTCACCCTAGTACTATTGGGATGTTGAGGCTAAAGAACAAACTGAGAGGGATACATCCCCTTTGCTGCCTTCCCGTCTGGAACTATCTCTGTGAGTTCCCAGAAAATGACGTATCCCTTAGTGGAAGAAAATCTATAATCCAACATGTCTGCTAATTCTGGATATAATCCTCGAGTGGAAGCTATACAAACCAGACATCTACTTCCTTGAATTAATTCCTGCTCTTACCTGCTTTCCTTATTACACAAGAAGTGGATGCTGTATCCAGGGAGTTGCTGGCCGCACATGTGTAAATACCAAAATCCTCAGCCGTAACCACCAATATGGTTAAAAGCTGAAAGTTTTTGAGTGTGGCTGAGATCAGTATCCTACTGCTGCTGCGAAGGGGCACCCCATCTGTAAGGCAAAAGGAATAAGTCCTTAAATTCTACTGAGATGGCTAAAAGTCCCTTATTTTCCAGGGAAAGACTCCCCTAAATCCACTCCCCTTAACCTTCTCCTGGAACTTAGCTTCTCAATCATCTTTATTGTGCTATTACTCCAGACCCAATTATTAAATTGTCCCAAGTCGTCAAATGAGAGTTTACGTCACCTCTGAACCAGTCAACGTGCAGAGGGAAATGGGCAGACGTTTGGCAGGACAGAGTCACAGACTGCCCCAGGGCAACATCCTGATCCGTGAGCTCTTCTACAAAAGAAGGTGCTGAAAGAAAGAAGGAAAGCAGCATTTCAGACAGATTAAGACAATTACATATGTAAATCACAACAAGCAACATACCAGACAGCATCTTTAATCAGACTGGCTATCAAGGAGCACCAATGGGGAAAAAACAAACACATTTCAAGCTCTTGTGCTCAGTATGCCGTCCTCCTCTTTTTAGGCCCCAGTGACCACACAGTAATGCGGCAGTTCAAAGAAGAGGTCCTGCACACCATTCAGTCTCTTTTCACTGTGTGCCGGCCCAGACCCTGGGAAGGGATGTTCCATTACAAGCAAGCTGCCTAGAGAAGACCCAATAACTTCAGAAGGTAACACAGATATATTAGTGATATGCAGCATACTTTTTCTTTAGTAAGTGTAGCACTCGTAATCAGTTCAACAGCTCTTTGGAAGTACATTATCGCTTTGATAGGACAGTGATGGGTGCTCTAGAAACTAGCTGATGATAGACAGACAGACAGACGGACAGATACGGAAGTCCTCTCTTTATCCATCAGCAGCTATACCATAGGCAGCAATAGCAAAAGTTTCCTCCCTATAGCCTTGCCAAACGTCAAATGTCTCAGGAGACAATTAATGTTAGCCTTCTAGCTAAACTAGAGGACAAGCTAAAAGAGCCAAGAAGGGCTACTGAAGGTCTGAATGTTCATGAAGTCCAGTGAAGGAACTAGAAACTCCTATGACTGTGCTTATTTAAGTCCTGGATTTACCCCTACCCAGCTTGGAGGAACCTTCTGAGTGGCACCTGACCACCACCTTGCCACTTCCAAAATACTGTGCGATTTAAAAGCTCCTAAACAATTCACAGATGAAAAGGCACATCAGGCCCCTCTGAAGACCTTCTTTAGAAACATAACTTTTGTGGCATTTATGGTATCCTTGTTCTGTAGTCCACAACCAAACAAACCTTCTATCGGCTTCAATGGCAGTCTTGCCTGAGTAAGGAAAGCTGGATTTGGGCCTAGATTTGTAGACATATATTCTGCAAAAGGACATTTAACATTAGATGCCATTTTGCTCTGAAATGTGTTCATCTAAAAAAGCTCTGGAAACCATGGCAGTTATTTTTTCCACCAAAAACAGTGATTTTGCATTTCAGGTCAAGACCTACACTTTAAGCATCTGAAAGCCCCACAAGGTGATGGAGTTGCGGCAAAGATGGAACAAAGAGAACTCCTGGAATTCCTGCTAGTGTGTGTAAATTACCAAGGTTTTCCTCTACACAATTCTTAGGAATCTTGCAAGCTACATCTCTCTCGGCTTCTCAGATACTAGCCTGGTGCAATTATATTCCTCTGTGATATTTCACAATAAAACTAACTGCTAACTCATGCCATAAAGATACCTTTCTCCTTTGTTTTGAGGCTTGATAATTTCATAGATTCTAAGGCCAGAACAGACCATTGTGATCATCTGATCTGACCTCCTGTATAACACAGGCCATAAGAACTTCCCCAAAATAACTACTAGAGCAGATCTTTTAGAAAACATCCAATCTTGATTTAAAAAGTTTAGTGATTGAGAATCCACCATGACCCTTTGTGTATTGTTCCAATGGTTAATTACTCCCAATTTTAAAAACGTATGCCTTATTTCCACTCTGAATTTGTCTAGCTTCAACTTCCAGCCATTGAATCATGTTATCTCTCTTTCTCTCTCTCTGCTAGACCGAAGAGCCCATTTATTAAATATTTGTTCCCCATGTAGGTACGTATAGACTATGATCAAGTCACCCCTTAACCTTCTCTTTGTTAAGCTAAATAGACTGAGTTCCTTGAGTCTATCACTATAAAGAATGTTTGCTAATCCTTTAACCAACCTTGTGGCTCTTCTCTGAACCCTCTCCAATTTATCAACGTGCTGCTTGAATTGCGGGTACCAGAACTGGACACAGTATTCCAGCAGCAATCGCACCAGTGCCAAACAGAGATAAAATACCCTCTCTACTTCTACTCAAGATTTCCCTGTCTATGCAGCCCAGGATGGCATTAGGTCTTTTGGCCACAGCGTCGAACTGGGAGCTCATGTTCTCAGAATGAAGGGAATGGATGGATGGATCAATGAAGTCCTGATTTTCTGTTTTAAATTCCTGCAGCCCCATTTAGAGACTCTCTTTCTGGTATGTCACTTCCCTGCTTCTCAATGCCTGTTTCAAAGAAGTTAATAGTAGAAGCCAGTCTACTAAATCAATGACATTTTAATTGCAGCATATAATTACAGTCTATTATCTGTGGTTCATGTGATTAGTTTAGCAGTAAAAATGCCATGGGGTTCTTATTAATGAATTGTCAGTTAATACCAAAAGTCATGGCAAGGTTAATAAAAGGCCCTGGGACTAGGATGATATTAAACTGTAGTAGGGCGGATGAGGGCTAGGTGTCTTGGACGGATAGCTCAGTGGTTTGAGCATTGGCCTACTAAACCCAGAGTTGTGAGTTCAATCCTTGAGGGGGCCACTTAGGGATCTGGGGCAAATCAGTACTTGGACCTGCTAGTAAAGGCAGGGGGCTGGACTTGATGACCTTTCAGGGTCCCTTCCAGTTCTATAAGATAGGTATCTGTGGCAGAAAGACACATTATATGGCACAACCTAGGTGCTGGAAAATCAAGAGTATAGACAGATTCTGGTCTCACTGATATAGGCACAAATCTGGAGTAATTCCACTGACTTCAGTGTAGTCACTTCACATTTACATCAACGTCACTAAGTTCAGAATTGTGCCCCACGTTTTACATTCCGGGCTAGGAGAGGATACCGAATATTGTCCTGGAATAAAACACTTCGCCGCAGAGGATGGAGGGAACTCCACTAGACAGTACAGCCGGATCCTATTCCTATTGATGTCCCTGGGTGTTTTGCCACTGGGATCAGGATATGGAGGATTACTCCTCTAGGTAAGTGGAGTGGCTGATGCTATTTCATGCTTAAACCTACCTTAAAGCTTTTAAATTGCATCTGCACTTGATTATTGCACACAAGTCAAATGTATGAACTGATGAATATAAGAAGTGTGGAGGGGAAAGAGGAGAGAGAAGAGGTAACAGAGCCCATTTATATTGTTAGGCCCATTTACACCCTCTATGAGATTTTTACCTTCCCTTTGCTCCGGTTCAGGGGCTGGCTTTCCTTTTAGGATTCTTGAAATATGGGCAACAGAAGCTTTTACTTTCTTCTTCAGAGTCTGCTCTACTGACTGCTCCGTTGAGTGCGATCTGCCATAGGGTTTAAAGAGTCCTGATTTGCTGTGTGTGGAGCTTCTCTGCTTACCACCTGAGTCCTTTTGGAAGCCATACATTGGCTGGGATTCAGTTGTCACATGGCCCTCAGCTCCTTTCCCCATTGGTGGCTCGGAACCTTTCGCCAGCCTTCGAAGGGGTTGCCCTACATCTTCGGAAATGTCCAATAGGTTTTCCCTGGTTTCCCCTGTTGTGGCATCTTGTGAGTTATCTGAAGGGGACTTAATGTCCTCTCTAATGCACAGTCTTTTATACTGAGGCAAATGTTCTTTAGTTGCAAGAGGTAATTTTACCTTTTCACCGAAGGGCATAAATCTTTTACCGCTTGGTTTGGGTGAGGGCTTCTTGACGTTCATAAATTCAAATGGAAAATATACAATGTCGTAGAGATCTGATAGGTTCAAATACGCAGGCTCTACCTCAGATATATCAAATTTTGAAGTCCCACTGCCAATGCTCGGCATCTCTTCTGAGAGGTCTTTAATCTTCACTAAGGAAACTTCAGAGTGTTTGTCAGGTTCCTTGCTATCAGAGCTAGGACTAGATCTTTTTCCAGAACCTGAATTATCACACGGGGATACGCTTGCTTTGCTGGAACTAGTGCTTTTGATTGCTAAATCCCCTAGATGTTCACATTCATGAGAAGCCATCTTTTCGTCCTCAGTGACTACACTCAACAGGGCTGGCATACTCAACTTATCTTCCGCTGCAGGAATTGGTGCAGCTGATTCTGCAAGATCAGCCCGGTAAATGCCCTCTTCTCTTTTACCCCGTGGCACAAAATGAGCGGGACGTCCGGCGGCTGCGTGGCCAGCTGGACCTTGGTAGAACATCTCCTTTGGAGGGGAGATGTGCTTTTCACATCCCTCTTGAGTAGAAACGGACTTTGCCAAAACATTCATATCTTCAGACAGACAAACCATCGCTTCAACCAAGTCCTCCAGGACAGCGCACTCTGCCTTGCTGTAAACAGAAGGCTTCTGATGTGAAGGTTTCTGGCTTTCACCCTCGCCAAGTGAAACAGGGGAAGTCTCTAGAATACCTAGGCTTTCACTCTCTGAGTCCGCAGATTTCACCTCGCTGCAAACTGAAGGCTCCTGAGGTGACCGTTCCTGGCGGTCACTCTCATAGACGGGAAGCGGGGCAGTTTCTCGTTGTGGAATTGTGAGAATAAATAGGCTTTCACCCTGGAGAACAGCAGACTGCACCTTAAAGTAAACAGAAGGCGCCTGACAGGAATGTTCCTGCCTGTCACGGTCACAGTCTGAAACTGGGGCACTTTCTGGTGGTGGTGGTAGAATCATTGGATGTTTGCCCTCCAGAACAGTGGAGGCTGTGCCCAAGTAATCAGAAGGCTTCTGATGTAAGCATCCCTGGGTTTCACCCTGGCAGACTGAAAGTGGAGCAGTTTCTGGTTGTGGAGCTGTTAAAATATTTGGGCTTTCACCCTTACAAGCTGGAATTTGGGCAGTCTCTAGGATAATTGGGCTTTCACCCTGTAGATCAGCAGACTCTGTAGCACTGTGAACAGAAGGCTTTGGGTGCTGATGTGCATGTTCTCTTCTTTCACTCTCCTGGGCTGATATTGGGACTCTCTCTGATTCGGGAGCAATCCAAACAGAGCTTTCACCCTGCAGAAGTGAAAACTCTGCACCACTAGGCTTCGGCGTCAGCTTTAAATGCTCCTCACTTTCACCCGTGTGAGCTGACACTGGGGCTGTGTCCGGTTGCTGAGCAGTTAGAATCAGGCTTTCACCTTCCAGAGCAGACGGCTCCACATCAATGTCAATGGAAAGTTTTGTCTTTTGATGTAAATGCCCCTCACTTTCACCCTGGTGGGCTGATACTGGGACCTTCTGTGGTTGAGCAGCTAGACCCGGGCATCCTTCGTCACCACACTGTGCAGAAGGGACTGGCTGTTCTTCTGAACAATCCTTCCTAGCTTTCCTTGAGTCCTCCTCCATCGAATGCTCCTCAGGCCAAACCTTGCCAGAGTCAGTAGATATGCCATGCTGGCTAGCTAGTCCTGGATAACTCCCCTGTGAAGTTAGATCACAGTCTTCTTCCAGAATGTCTTGCTCCTTGGCTAAACTTATGGCTCTTAGTCTGTAATCATCCAGTGAACGGCTTCTGCTGGACACCTGGAAGGTGTGACGTGATGGTTTCCTAGCAGTATCAAAGGAAGCTGATTTGGTCAGAGGGCCTGTCACACCTTCTTTGCTTTTTCCATATTCTTCATCACCAGACATTCCTTCTTCTTCTTCTTCCTCCTCCTCCTCTTCTCTCAATTCAAAGTGTTCTAGAAGGGGTTCCCGCAGACCACTCAAGGGTACCTTTAAATACCCTGATTTCCTGAAGGCCCTTCTTGTTCTGTCAAGGTGCCTTCTGTAGTCTCTGCCCGGTGAGACAGGGAGACGTGTAGGAGCCTCAGACGCTTGGCTGTAGAATGTGCTTTTAATGACACTCTGTCTGGGGACACACAAAGGTGGTTTCTCCATTGCATCTCCAGCCTTTACAAGTCTTTCTTTGTCAGGTAATAACGTGCCTGTTTTTTCTTTTGGCGGTGCCAAGTCCGATGTATCTAAGGTGGCTGCCTTCGCCAATGAAGGCTGCTCTGCATCACCCTCTTGGGACTGATCTGCTCTTTCATCTTTGAGTTCTGAGCTGACCGCTTCTGGTTTCTGAGCAAAGGCACCTGCCACTAGTACTTTGCTTTCTGTAGGTGGCTTATCATCCAGCTCACTTTTCACTAAAGCATATTTCCGTCTCATGGGTTTTACTGGAGGCACCAAGACCTTGGAATGTTTCTCTTCTGCCGCATAACTTAGAGGTTCTTGATAACTCGGTGCATCAAACACAGACAAGTGCAGTTCTGGTGTAGAGCCAAAGTGCCTTCTCCTGGGGAAGGATGCATTCTCATTGTCTGAAGAGGAGCCAGTAGTAGTGGAAGAACTACTTTCTTCAACCAGGTGTCGGGAGATGCCTAGCGATGTGTTTTTGTGAGTTCTCTGTAGGATTTCTGGAATGGATCTCATTACCAGTATAGATTTATAGCACATGAGGGAACGCTGAAAAAGGAAAACAAAAATACAACATAACCAAAAAGCAACTTCGTGATGCGAGTGGTGTAAACATGCACAGCAAGAATTACACTATATATCCTCAGAAACATAACACAAATAATAGCTGCATAGCATGTTGGCATTATTTCTTTTTGTACAATATATTTTGACAGATTCATTCTGGGCCGAACTCTCCTCTCACTCACTGACTTCAGTGGAGGTATTGCTAACTTACACCTGTGAGAGTGGAGAACCAGGCTGCTGGTTGACATTTTTCAAAGCAGTGCAGGGGATTTAGCCACAGGTCCCTTATTTCCATTGTTTCACTGAGTTTCTTAATTAAACATACTAGGCCAGAGCCTTAGGTGAAGTAAAATGGTGTACCTCCACTGTAATCAGTAGAGCTCCGCTGACATATATCAGCAGAGAAGCCAGACCCCGGTGTGCTCCATTATGTTATTATGTACTTCATTGTTTCTTTGGGAACCCTTTTGTTTCTGTATTGCTATTGATTGTAGGCCTTAAAATGAATAAAATATTTAAATACATGTAAATACCCATATTCCACACGTGTTATATAATACAAAGGGGTATCGGGGAATGGCCCGAAGTTCAAAGACTGATTATCAGAGGTTTCCGCTAATAATAATAAGCACCCACATAGTACTTTTCATCTACAAGGTGCTTTACACCTATCAGCTAATGAGCTTATCACAACATACCCTTGAGATAGGCAGTGTTATTCAATTTATGCAAATGGCATACGTGAGGCTGGGAGGTAAAGAACTTGTTCCTACTGGCAGAATGAATCAGACTCAGGGCTGGTCCACACTACCCGCCTAATTCGGCGGGTAGAGATCGATCTTCTGGGATCGATTTATCGCGTCTCATCTGGACGCGATAGATCGATCCCAGAAGCGCTCCCCCGTCGACTGCGGAACTCCTGCTCGCCGAGAGGAGGAAGCGCTGTCGACGGGGGAGCTTGCCTGCGCTGCGTGGACCCGAAGTAAGTACTTTTAGTTCGATATAGGAAACGTCGACTTCAGCTACGCTATTCTCGTAGCTGAAGTTGCGTTTCCTATATCGATCCTCCGCCCCAGTGTGGACCAGCCCTCAGAGAGGAGATCAGCAATCAGAAGTTCCTGAGTCCCAACCCCATCCTCAGATCAATCTTAAGAACATATTAAAATACAGGTATCCAAATTGATGAGGTAAAATCCTGGCTCCGACGAAATCAGTGGCAAAACTCCCATTGATGTTTGTATGGGGATTTCACTCTTGGTCTTTAGTATTCTCAGCATTTTGTGCATCGAAGCACAGAAAGTCTTTTTGTAGATTACGAGACAAGTCATCTAACATTCAGAAGTCATTGGTGACCTCAGGCTCAGTGTCTTTACTCAATGTCCAGAAGGGGCTTCCCTCTTTCAGTGCCCTAGGCTGGATCATGCCACAGAAAGCAGAATAGTGGTGACAACTGGAAGACCTGTATTTTTTCAGCCTGTATACCTTATTTTTGCCACATCCACTGAACCTTTTCCCTTTGACAATATTCCCTTCTCAGAGGCACACCAAGGAGACCTTGGCTGCACACCCTGCACTTGTGCTGCAGTCTTGAAAAGAAGAGACTTTTAAAAAATAATAACTAGACAGAAAGAGCAAAATAGACTGAGGTCTGCTGACCTGCCACTTGCTTCGAGCCACAGTGAACTTCAGTTGTTTTGTATTAATAAAATGAGCTTCTTCTAGCGGGAGATTACGCTGCAAAAAAGAAGAATGAGAAAAAAAAATGTTGGTCACAAAATCTCAATGATATTTTCAGTGGCGTTTGTTAAGATTTAGAAACACAGGTACATAGGACTAAAAGGGACCTCCTGGGTCATCAAATCCTGTCCTCTGCTATTTTGTAGGAAACCCCTTCCTATAATCCTGGTCAGATTTCACTCTCCAGGGGACACAGCATATTTTAATTCAAGGAAGAGTCCAGTTGTTTAACTGCAATTGGCCAAATCTTGAAATCCTTATTTGGTGTTGGCTCTATCTCCCATTGTGGACCAATAAGAAGACATCTTGAACAAATTTCCAATGAGACTAGAATCAGGCCCTCATCATTCATATATATATGAATACATACACACACACACACACACACACACACAGACACAGCGTCAGGTCCCAAACGCAGGGTCACAGGGCGCTTAGGCGTCAGTAATCGCCAACCTGCCACCCAGTGACCTATTAATGGTTGCCAGAACTACGAACTCAGCACTGACAGAGGAGTCCAGTGCTGAGATTTGACTGGTGGAACTCTAGGGGTCCCGACTCATTCCCTGCTTCTATTTAAACCAAGCAGAGGAAGAGGAAGTTGTCTGTGCAACTGGGTTTCCCCTGCTTTGACTGCTTCAGTTGTGCTACCCGCTCCAGCTGTCTAACCCTGATCTCCCAATGTATAACCCAGCCTGCCTCCTGACCCTCAACTCATGCTCCAACCACTAGGTCAGGCCGCCCATGTCCCAGTCATCACACATATGCGCACAGACGCGCACACACACAATGATTCGATTCTTCATTCCTTTCAGCTTTTCTCCTTCATTAGGGGTTCCAGGCACCCAAATAGGAATTTTAATTTCCCCTGCCGCAAAAGGGCATAATCTCCTCTCAGTGCAAACGTGTTTTGCCTATTAATGTTCATGGGAGTTCTTTACATGTTTTGAAAAGAAAAGACCCTAATGACCATACACCAAAACGTTGCTTATTTCTGCAGGACGGTTCCCCAGCATCTATATGTACAAAATAGCCTCTACAAGAGAAACACAGTTGCTAGCTGACTGGGAGAGAGATTGGGTAAAATCCAAACAAACTTACCAAGAACCAGTCGTGTGAGAGACATTGCAAAGCACTAGGCCTGGCTCTGATGATAGAAGAGAGACACATTTCAACTGTCATCATCAGCATGACAAACCCAAAGGGATGTAGCTTCCTTGCAGATCAAGTGCCACCCAGATCGCTCTCTAGCTAGGGCCTTAAGACATCTGAGCTGGAAGTCACTTTAAACAGTACCAGCAGGGTTCTACAGATTGCCCTTTACCAGTCAGGTTCTGTTATGGGGCAGTAAAGCCAACCAGAATGATCCCTTTTAAGCCAATTTTTTCTCCTAAACAGTAAAACACGTCTTCTCTTTCAACCTATAGTATGTTTCCCAATGCTCATACTTCCCGCAGGTCCCTCAAGTCAGGGACTATGGAAGTTACCATACCATTCTGCAGGGCCTGCAGTGCCTTCCTTCATGATACCACAGGGGAAGACCACGCTTCATGGGTCTACACTGCACCTGACTCAAGTCTCTGCAGTGCAGTCTTTGCCAAAACAGAAATGACTGACTTGTTTCTAATAAGGAAGGCTGCATTACAGGTCACAGAGGGCGCCTTTAACAGTGGGTTTGGCTTAGTCTTCCAGATGGGTAGCTATTTGGGATCAGGCCCTCTCAGAGGTCCAGAGAGGCCTGGGCCACTTCCAGATTTTGAGGCCCCTCACCATAATAAAAATAAAAAATGACGACACATGAAAACAAAATACGGCACCAAAAAAAGAGTGAGACATAATTTGAATGGTTTTTTTTTATTTAACAAATGCTTTTCTAGCCTTTTTCTGTGCAAAAAAATGTATATCTTTTACCCAAATCACATCTCTCATTTGCTGAAATTTGCAGCTCTAAGCGGAGAGTGTGTGTCACATTTTGCATAAAAACAAGTTGCAAAACTTATCAAATGCCAAAAAAGTAACAAGTGTCTAAATCTGAGGCCTCCTTTGAGCTTGAGGCCCAGGTCAAATGGCCCTCCTGGTCCCTCCTCTGACAGGCCCTGTTTGGGATCAGCCTAAACCGTGGAGGCACCAGCCATGCAGAGCAGAAAATGAAGCTCCCAGTTTCTTGCCTTCTCCCATGCTTGGAACATTATTATTATTTAGCTGCATTCTAGAACAACCTAATTAACATGGGATGCTGTTCTATTTAGGTTCTTATAGTGCCCTCGTCACCATTGTAACCGGCTTCTCTTTCAAATCATTTCTGAACACCCACCTGTCTAGGAGTCATAACATCAAGACACTTTGCTCACTCGCTATACACATTCTTATCTTTCGATTATAAACTCTTCAGGGTAGTTTTCTGGTGACTATATAAATATGGATTTGAACCCAGCTGCCTTCAGAGGTGAAAGGCTGATACACTAACTGACCATACCAACTTGTCCAAATTTTGTACTTCTCACAGTGAATGTAGGTCTGACTGGCTGAGATTGGCAGCTCATCCCACAAACATCTGGTACAATATTTTTGGAAAACAATAGAAATGTACTCACTCAGGAGAGAGCTGTAATATCTGTCTGATAAAATCCTTCGCTTCTTCACTTAGGTGAACAAAGTCAGGGATAGTCCATGAAACTGTCCCATTCTGGATATTTAAAAGGGTTGCTCTGTCATTTTCCCCAGCAAATGGAGACTTGCAGGTTAAGCTTATTGTATTAACATTATAAAATAAAAGGAGACATGATTTGTTAGTATTTGATTGCTGCTCAACCCTCCAAAAGCATAAATGCATGACAAAGGTTTTAAAATAGGAGGCAGATTCAAAATGAGAGACGCACAGCACAAGTAATAATAATATTTGCCCTTTTATAACATCTTCCAGCCAAGGTTTGCAAAGCACTTTGCAAAATTATTTATCTCCATTTTACAGATAAGGCATTTGAAGAACAGAAAAATTGAGGGTTTGATTTTCAAAACCGCCCTTGCAACTTAGCTATGTAAACGTGGACACATACCTTTACATTAGGGAAGGCCAAAATATGTATCCATAAGATTGTATGGGTCATTGTGAAATACTTAACCCAAAGCTATGAACTGACGGTTACTGACTATAATATTCATAGAAGCTGTCAGCTCTTTGGAACAGGGACATCATCTTTAGAACTGAAAGTGCTTAGCATGCTGTTGGTAACATACACATTAAATAAATTACTAAATAACAATCACCACCACCTCACTCTTTACTCACTCAAAACTCCCACTAAAGTCATTGGAAGTTTTACCTGAGTCAGGATTAAGGAAAGCTAAATAGGACCCTTAAAGCAGATTGTTTACCTTAAATAGCTGATGACTCCAGCAGCCCTGAGAAGAAAAGAAACATACTTATATCAGACAGATATTCTTGCTTCTCCCCCACCTCACCATATAGCTTCCCTGGTTTCAAGTGACAATAATCCAAATAACTGTACAATAAGAGCCTCTTTACCTGCCCTATAAGGATTAGCTTTTTAAAGGCAAATACTAACTGTTCCTTTGCATCAGTCCTGATTTTTCTTTTAAACAGCACAGGAAACAATTTTTGCACTATTTATTTAAAGGTGACTTAGGAAGGATTTTTTAAAAATCAGGTGTGTGTGCATTTTTTTTCTTTATTACGTATAAAGAAGAAATGTGTTAATTTTTATTTATTATTTTTTTACTGTAAACGTATCAGGAATGTCAATTCTGGCTTTGCTGGACTACCTACCGGATATCTCTTAAACACAGATTTTGTTTTATAGTTTGCCATTAGCGTTTAATACATTTTATCAAAAACAGAGAAAAAACAGAGTTCTTAACATTCTGGCTCAAGTCCCCTTACCCTCTAAATTGCTCAACTTTCATTTTTAACTCTACGTTGTCCCTATCATTGTACCAGTTCTGCAGTAAAGCACTGGTGGAAATTCCCCTACCATCCTTTTTTTTTTAAAAACAACACTTCTTTACACTGCATAAATAGATTACAAGCCCAATTTCTTTACCTCTTCAAGCAATTACCCAGATGTTGCATTGGAAATATTTTGTATATGATCAACACTGTGGATTTCTACATATCAGACATTCACTACACCACCATGACTTCAGCAGAACTGAGGATGCTTAGCAACTCACAAGATAAGGCCCTTCCAGAGCAAAAGTGTACAGCAAAATTCAAATACATACATGTTTCCAATAGAGTGTGTTTAACCCTCTACAGTAAATGTTCCCAATGTATCAATCAATTCATCCCGAAGCCCCAAAGTTATGTTTTTAGGTGCTATAACTTTTTTTTAAAGTGACAGTTTACCAAATATCAGATGCTTTTGACACTGGTGACTGAGAGATAATTTCTGGGGAGACAAACTCTGGAGACCCGTATTTGCTGTACTGAGGCACAGATGGATTTATCTTTTGAGCGAACCCAAAGTCACAGATCTTAATGTCTTCTCTTTCAGGATAAACCATCAGGATATTTGGAGGCTAATGAATCAGAACACATGGAGAAAGTTTATTTGCAAAAGGGCATTATTTTTAGATATAAGTAAATCTTTAATATATAGTCTGAATAAAGCACATCAGTCTCCTGTCCTACAAGCTATAATGGCTAAGATAAGGTGGATTTTCCTTTGTGGGTTACCTTAATATCCAAGTGAAGTACGTTATTGTTATGGAGATAGCTGAGTCCTTCCAAAAGTTGCTTGATGTATAATTTGACCTTAAAAATCAAAATCAGTTACAAAACATTTTCATTTGAATAGTACAGTGGGTCTACTTAAAAAGTTAATTCACATTTCAGTGGGATTACCAATTCCAGAAATATTCCCTATAAGTAATATGGGGAATACAGCTTGAACTGATCGTTAAGGCTGACTGGAAAACAATTCCATTTTGTGAAAAGTTTTCAGGTTTCAAAAGTTGTTTTCCTTCCAGTGCAGATTAAAAATGAGACCTTTTGAAATTTTTCACACCCACCCCCCACAACCCATATGAGAGAAAGCTCCAGCCGCCCCAGAATAGCCAATAGCCCAGTGATTATGTTACTCAGAGGGAGTACATGAACCTCAGTCTTCCACGTTCCAGATCAGTGTCCTAACCTCTCGTCTACTGGCTATTCTGGAGTGGGACCTGGATATGGACCTATCCCCACCAGTGAAATTCCATTCTAGATCTGAGAAACGGATATATTTAGTGAAAAAATTTCCAGGCAACTCTAAGGGTAACACTTCTACAGAAAGGAATAAACTTTTAAAGTGAGACTATTTTATGTGAAACAGACGGGGAACCAAACATTAGAACGTGGAATTCAGACACAGCAGCTACGGGTATGTCTACACAGCCCGTGGCAACAAGCCTCCCAGCACAGGTCGACAGACTTGGGCTACCAGGGCTCATACTAGCTCTCTAAAAATAGCTGTGTAGACAGAGCGTTGTAGTTGCAGCTCCTGCTGGATCTTGGGCTCTGAAGCCCATCCCCATTTCCCAGGCTTACAAGTTTCTTGATCAAGGCTTGGGGACTTGCTGACATGGGCTGTGCAGACATACCCTAAATGGGCCCTTCCACACACCAGAGTTTTCCAGATGTTCGGAAGCCTGAGCTTTAAAAACAGAGATGCACTTAACAGGGGATATGAATACCCCCAAACTTTGGGGGAAATTCCAATCCAGATTTCAACATTACGTCTCAGGCCCTTGTCTAACACAGTTTGTTTGGTCTGTGTAGACCAGGCAAACACATTTTTAAATAGTGTTAGAAAGCCATTTTTTAGACCAGGCACAGATCCTAATATGAGTAAAATTTCACGATGGATGGGGATTTAATATCTAGGCCCAGTTAGAAGGTAATTTAGCCTTGCCTCTACAGTTTTATCTGATGATTCCTCCGAGACCTGAGAAAAATAAAAGTAGGAATGTAGGAGACTTGTGTTCCAGAAAGAGACAGACTACATGGCTCTTATATTTTGAGCTAGAATGGACTGTAAAAACTCAGAGGATACCATCTCAGTTCTTGGCTTGGGGAGTGCAAGGAGATGAAGAAAAATACAATCCCTAGTGAACATGAAATTATTACACAAGTCAAAACACATGGAAGCTACATGATAGAAGTTGTGGTGTGGGAAAGTGGTAGAGTTACGGAGACAATACGTTCTTGGGTCTAACAAAGAAATATAAAATTTGGCTGAGCACATGCTTATTATCAAAAGCCCTTGGCTTCTCACTTTATTCCGTTGAGAAGCTATCACTGGGAATGAAAGTTTCAGGGTGGGCACTTAAACAATTCATTCTGGCTTGACGGATATCACATGTTTCTGAGATAGTCTCTAGACTTAAGATGGGTAGTATAAATAAAACGGCCATATTCTGTCGAACCAGAATGAATTTTGGAGTGCACCTACCGTACTTTGAAATTTTAAAATGACAAGAAATTGGTACCTCTGCTTCAGTAACAACACTCTTCCTGAATAAACGGTCCAAGAGCTCCTCACTGGAGCACCTAGCAAGGACATTAAGGAAAACAAAGACCATTGGTTTATTATTTATAATTTACTAGCATTCTGCAACAAATACAATCTTTGATAATAAAAAAGAACAGATCCCAGAGGGCAGCATGGGTGATGTTAAATCCTCTCTCTTTGCCAGGAATTTTCTGAAGGTCTGTTATAAAAAACCTTCAATCCAGAAGGAGCTAGGGCAGTCCTCTTATGGGAAATGGTAAACGCAACTGCTGAAAATCTTTGCTCCTTAAAAATTAAATGAAATCCATGGAATTAACAAGCTGCTTTGTGCTAAAATTCTCCCATTAGTCATGTTGGTTGGTTGCTCCTCAGCATCTTTCCTCTGTGCTTGCACATTGTCCATCCAGACTATAATCCCATTGGGGCAAGGACCTCATCTTTCATATATTTCAGTAAAGTGTTTGGTGCTATATAATCAATTGGTGCAAGAGGTATTTTTCTAAAACAGCTTTTTCTATTGTGAATCCACCCATCCTTTGTACTTATTTGGCCCCCATTCCCATTGTATCTGAGCAGCTTACAATCTTTAATATGTTTATGTTGTGCAAATGTGTCCTTTTATCTCAGGTGAAAAATATAAATGGTTATATTTATATTGACATGGGTTTCCCTTAACTGGCACTTCCCTGCATTATCTGAGGGAAAAAAAGGGAAGAAAAGGATACAACTCCAAAATCAGAACCAAGGTTTTCCTTGTTTCAAATTCATCCAGCAGCTGGGCGATTTTATCATGGGAGAGCGTGGCTAGGATGTCCCTCTCTTGATAGGACTGGGTTCTCGTTTTGCTTCGCAGAGGTATGAACTTGGCAGCACAGGATACTCTGTTCCCTTTGTGCACAACCCGTTTCACAAAGCTGAAAGAGCCCCTGTACAGAATCAAAAAATATACCACATTGAGGTTTTGCCCTGCATCCTCCTGCATGTCAGATTCACGACGCTTGCGTTCATTGTCTACCCCCATGCAATCCTCTCTCAAAGCCACATTCACCTTAAACGCAGTCTAATATAACGATCTGACTTTATTGTGTGCGAGATCATGTCTCCCTCTGCTGACTGGCCCCCCAAAACTGAACAGCCTGCTATTCACTGCCAGTTAACAGTTACACCTTCAGCTCCAGTGTTAAGGGCGTGTGCTGAAGGCCCCAGGTTCACTCTTGGTGGACAGACATGGTGTCTGTAGGTACACATTCATGGATCTGTCACACCAAGATAATGCCAAAATAACGTATTTGGGGCAAAATTCTCCCCTCCATTATACCTGTACAGCCCCACTGAACTCAACAGGGTTGCACAAGTGTCAAAGCAAGTCAGTGGAATTGCACGGGTGTGACCAAAGACAGAATTTGGCCTATCAACGCTGTTTTCTCTACATGGTAATACTTCACCCAACTTTGGGGTACACACTGAGATTGTTTTATCGTCCCTTCCACCCTTTATTAAAAAATCGCAGGGAACACCCTGCACACATGGAGCAGGGATGACAATCCCATCAACTCCCATGCTTTAGACATGTCAAAACTTTACAAAACTGGGCACAGTTCTGCCCTCAGTTACTTGGGTATAAACCCACTGAAGTCAATGGTATTCAAATGAAATCCAATGCAGTTGCATGCATAGAAGTGAAGGAAAAATGCAGACCAGTGAACTTATACTGCACTTGTGGAAGCCACTGAGATCCCACAATACCAAAGGCATGGAGTGAAATCCTGACTCCACTGAAGTCAATGGGAGTTTTGTCATTGACATCATTGGGATTAGGATTTCAGCCATGTTTTTACCATTCTAACTACTGTATTGCAAAGTGGGCAAAAAGAAAAGGTGGGACAAATTAAGTCCTGGCATAAGTGGGCTCAGCAAGAGAAGAAAGTCAACGAGAGCTCTGCCCACTTGTGCCAAACCTGATTGCAGCCTGGATGCTTAACTAAAAATAGGAATGAATAAAACAAGATGTGAATAACAAAATAGGTGATAGCCTGGGGTGATGAGCAGAATGTTTTGGCACGTGTTTGGGAAGGCCTGCACAATTCACTCATGCCTCCTCTCAGAAGTTAGGTGGTCACTCCAGACTCAGGTTACATAGCCCCTTACACCATCGTGTGTTCTGCTTTGTTTCTCCCATTAGCTGCATTATATGAATTTTCCTGTGAGTGGAAGGGAAACACCTTCCCTGTCACAAGACTGGGATTAATACTGCTTCATGAACTGGCTACCCCATTTCCCCCTTGTCCCTTGAAGAAAAGCTGTCCCCGCTCCCCTTTCCACCGGGACTCCATGGGGAGTGAGATACCCAGGCTGCTCCTAATCTGGTACACTTCCACTGCAACAGAATGTGTACTCCCTTTTTACTGCATATGCCCTCAAACGGCCATGTCTTGGAGACCCTCCTCCTGGTCAAGTGAGGGATACAACTTCTTCAGTAGTGCAGTAGTCCTGGTTCCATGCTCTGGCCAGAGAGCAGGGATAGAAGCTCCCTTCCTTAGAGTTTGTGGAGCATGCCGACTTTAGATCAATAGTTCTCTACATCTTAAAAGAGATCAGACAGGCATTTATACATTCTCCTGCAAGGACATTTTAAAAGTGAAAAATCACACTTACCTTCCTATCTCCTGCTTCACCTCATAGAAGGAATGGAGTTTTCTTCGGGTGCTCTGTTTCTTTGTCACTTGGTCTTTCTTAGCTTTGGTAACCAAAGAAAAAGTTAGTAGTCGTGTTCACACAACACGGCCATGGCACAACATGCAAAACGATCATGCTGACAATGTTCTGCGGGAAATAATATGATCCATTTTCTAAGCTTCTCTTTAGAATTAGGCTATTGAAGGTGTTTGACACCATAAACACAGGGGCCTGGATTCTCAGCTGGTGTAAATAGCATATCTAGACAATACACGACAAACCAAGCCCTAGAGCGGCTCCAGCTAGCAAGGTGCTAATAACCCTGGAATATGCCCCCAGAAGCCTAAGCATCAGACACAAGTCAGTGCCCCACAATTGTGGATGTGGCTATATGGCCATGGGGAGCAGGGCTGGTGCAACCCATTAGGCGTCCTAGGCAGTCGCCTAGGGCGCTACAATTTGGGGGGCGGCGACCGCGGCGGTATTTCAGTGGCGGGACCTTCCGCCGCCTCTGTGGGGGGGGCGGCATTTCGGGGCAGGACCTTCCGCCACCTAGGGCGGCAGAAAAGCTGGCAGCGCTCCTGATGGGGAGCCAATACATCAAACCTAAGAAATGAAGTTACCCTCATGTACAACAAGCTCTGCTTTGCACAAGACCTCCCCTCCTGCATTTTTGGCAATGCAGGTGTAGACGCCACCATCTTCTGGGGCAGCTTTGTCCAGGATCAAAGAGTATGTTGTGCCTTCTTTCACTTGATGGATCTTGTTGCTGTCGGTCAACAAGGAATTATCCTGGAAGAATGAGACACTACTTCAGTATTAAATTGCCAGAGTGAAATAGGTTCTGGTACACTGCAATGATTTAGCTCAGTGATACTCAGACCTCAGTGGTTCAGGAGCCAAATTAGCGATCAGTATTACTCAAAAGAGCCATACTAGTGTGAATTCATTGTTTCATTTACTCTCTCTCTCTTTATATATGTATATTTTATTCTCACAGCAAATAAGTTAATAATTTAGAGCAAGTTGATAAATTAATCGGTTAATAACATAGTAAAAGCATCCTGATTGGTCAATAGCTTAGACTGGTTATAATTAAACCACACAGTGTTTTAATATCATGTGCTGCAAAGAGCTGCAGGAGACACATTAAAGAACCTCTTGCGGCTGGCAAGCCTTAGTCTGAGTATCACTGATTTAGGTAGAACAACAGTAGCTAAAATGGAGATCTATGTGCACTTAGAACAGGGGTCCCCAACGCGGTGCCCGAGGGCGCCATGGCGCCCACTGGGGCGTCTAAGTGCGCCCGCGTACTGGCCGGCGCACGAGCATCCGCCGAAATGCCGCCGAGAAGCAGCGTCATCCAGAGGCGTCGCCACCGAAATGCCGCCAATTTTCGGCGGCATTTCGGCGGCGACACCTCTGGATGACGCTGCTTCTCGGCGGCATTTCAGCGGCGATGCCTATTGACATTGCCGCTTCTTGGCGGCATTTCGGCGGATGCTCGTCTGCTGCCACGGTCCTCCGTGGCTCGTCGTCTGGAGCCTGCCAGACAAAAAAGGTTGGGGACCACTGACTTAGAATATAGAAGTTGCTTATATTCCAGAGAAAATTTTCTATGCCCTGGTACTGATGCTCTGTTTTCAATAGCAACTTGGATGGAGTAAACCCAGTGCAGATAAAATAAGAATGAACTCAAACCTTTGCCTAAAAATCTGAATCTGAAAATTTTAAAATTCCCAACTTCTCAGTTTTAGCCAAGACCAAAAGCAGAAATACCACAAAGAAGTGGAGCTCTCAGTATTTTCCATTCATTACCAAGTAGTAATGGAAGTCTCATAATACAGGCTTTTTGTGTGAGATTTCCAGCTCAATTTCAAGACCAAAGAAGTCTGGATAAGCAGGGGTTTAGTGGTTAGAGTAGAGAGTTAGGAATCAAGACTCCTAGGTTCTATTTCTTATTCTGACACTGGCTTCCTTTGTTCCCTTGGGCAAACTTCTTAATCTCCCTGTGTCTCTTTTCCCATTTGTAAAATGGGGATTCTTTTTACCTGATTCACAGGGGTGTTGTGAGCCTTAATTAAGAACTGCAAAGTTCTTGAGATCCCCAGATGAAGGGTGCAATAGATGTGTAAATTATTATCATTAACACAGTAAAGATCTGCTGTTGCGTGAAAGTCTTCTGGAAGCCTGTCAGCCATAGTCCAGCAATGTCAGCTGTATCTCCATGACAACGGGAAGATGTTTCCCGTTTTTGTACTGCTGGTTCATTCTCAGTTAATGTCAATGACATTTACAAGCCCACTTCTCACTGACAGGCACTAGGAAGAAGCCTCCCCTATGGCCAGGTTATTCCGTAATTGTCCAGTCCCACTGTGTCTTGCACCTTCCTCTGAAGCAGCTGTACTAGATGAGATGGAGCACTGGTTTGACCCAGTCTGGCAATTCCTACATTCCTATATTTGTATTATTCCTTAATGGACTTAACAATCAGAAGTTTTAACCTTGAAGGTTCATCACTTCTTTGCCTGCAAATAAGACCATCCATTCTCGGCCCAACGATAAATACAGGAGGCTATTTGAGCCTATTATGGCTGAGAAAAAAGTCCCTTATGGCCAACTGTTTTCTAACTTCTCCGTTATTGTTAATTTCTCCTCACCCCATTCCTTTCTGTGTCACTCATCCGCTATGGGAAATATCTTCTGCCTACCTTATACCATGCAATAGTAGGCTGGGGATTTCCTTCAATAACCGCATGAAATTTGGCAAGCTCCCCAGACTGAACCTGCACATCCTCAATGGTGACTTGCATATATGGAGGGCCTGGGGAGACAAAAGGGTTTACATTGCTTAAAAGAGAATTCAGTGATGTTCGAATCAAGCTGGGGATCAACGAACGGGAGTTACAGTTACATTTGGTGAGCTGCTCAAAGTATTGCCAACCCAAGAGGCCCCCAAAGTCATGTGCTTGGCTTAGAAACCACGAGATTTAAAAAAATAATACATCTGCGCTTCTTTTTATTGGCTTTTGACCCTTTAGGCTTCCAGTTTTCAAGCTCCCCCGAGCTGGAGCTTTAAGAAAACCACCAAATAGTGTGATAAATTTGCCGCCGTTGGCAAAACAATGAGATAACCATGGGAGCTGAGACAGAAGGGTAAAACGATGCCATTTCTTACCTGCTGGGCTCTTCTCCTCTGTTTGATAAACGCAGGTTCTTTCTGTGGTCTCAATATAAATTTGACTCTGGACATCCCAGACCACATCTGTCCCTTCTCTTCTACACCAGTCTGCTCCCTCCGTGACTGCTGATGTTCTTGTCACATAAACCAAGAGGCAGAGTCATTACCCAGACATCCTTCACCTCAGACAATAATAAGCAGGACCTACAATGCAACTGAAACAGACCAGGCCACAGCATCCTCAGATGCCTCCCACTCACTAACTCCCTGCTCATAATGACACGTTAAAAGACATCCCCACCAGCTGGAGTACAGAATAATAGGAATTAGAGCCAAGTGGTTCTACTATTACTCACTGATCATGGACATTTTAGGATATAAATTATGGCAGAGAAAAACCCTGCTTTGTCTTATCCCTGGCACAAACATAACCAGCTACAACATAAATGTGTTTTGAAACTCTAGCTGCTCTGTTCTCCCTGCAATGTGCATTCATGTCTCCAAATACAAGCAATGAATTTCACACGCATGAAACAGAAGGGATAATACAGCCTTTTAGGATTATATCTTGCCATTGTTCTGGGTGTTTAACTACCAGTGAGTTCAATATTTACTTAAAATTGATTCCAGGATAGTTTTGATTTGGGGACTTAATTACTCCCCATGTAGTATACCTCTCCACTCTCCTCTGTCTTGTTGACATATGACAAACAGGCACAACACTTTAAAGATCATACTAAACCCCAGTAACAGTAATGGGGGATTTGATTATTAGAAATATCTATACTATCTAGTTGGGTGATGACCAGGAGAACGGCATGGTAAATTGCCTGCTTGGTGGGAAGACTGGGGACCTCTCAAGACATTTGGATAGACTTATGTGCAGTGCTGGGACAGAGCCAGTGGTCGTGGTACATGTAGGTACCAATGAAGAAGGGAAACGTAGGAGGACAGAACCCGGACGCCAAATTTAGGCTGTTCCCCGCAGCTCCAGTTGGCCGGGAATGGCGAACCATGGCCACTGGGAGCTGCGGGGGGGGGGGGGGCGTGCCTGCGAACTGTCAACGTAAACAAAATGTCTCGCCGCCCGCCAGTGGATTACCCTGATGGCTGCGTACTGAAGGTTGCCGACCCCTGCTCTATAGCCTACTAAAAAGGAGAGGATAGAAGTTAGTAAAGTACAGGTAGGAACTGAAGAGAAAGTCAAACAAAAAGAGACCCATTCAATTTCATTGCACGGAGGCAAATAACTAAATATTGACAAATTTTATAAGTGCTTGTTTACAAATGCTAGATGTTTAAATACTAAGATGGATGAACTTGAATGCCTCATATTAAATGAAGATATTGATAACAGGCATCACAGAAATTTGGTGGAACTGTGATAATCAATGGGACACAATAATACCAGGGTGCAAAATATATAGGAATGGTAGGGTTGGTCACACTGGTGGGGAAGTGGCACTATACATAAAAGAAAACAGAGTCAAATAGAGTAAAAATCTTAAGTACCACAGAACTTCTACAGATAGAAATTCCTTGCTTGAATAATTACAGCATGGCCATAGGAACATACTAGTGACCACCTGACCAAAATGATGATAGTGATTGTGAAATGCTCAGGGAGATTAAAGAAACTACAAAAACAGAAAACCCAGTACTAATGGGAGAGTTTAATCACCCCCATATTGTCTGTACAGGTTACCGCAGGAAGGATGCAGAGATAAAATTTTTACACATCATTAATGATTGTTTCACGGAGCAGCTAGTCCTGGAACCCACAAGGGGGGAGGCAATTCTTGACTCAGTCCTAAGTGGCGCACAGGATCTGATCCAAGAGGTGAATATACCTGAATCGCTCAGTAATATCAACCATAATGTAATTAAATTTAACATCCTTTCAGGGAGAAAAATACCAAAGAAACCCACCACAGCAGTATTTAACTTCAAAAAGGGGAACTACACAAAAACAAGGAAGCTAGTAAAACAGAAACTAAAAGGAACAGTTACAAGAGTGAAACGCCTGCAAGATGCATGTAAACTATTTTAAAACACCACGATAGAGGCTCAAAGTATATGTAGACCCAAAATGGAAAAAAGAAAAGTCAGAGGACCAAAAAAATGACACTGGGTCTAACCAAGAGAATAGAAGAGGCGGTTAGAGGCAAAAAGGCATTCTTTAATAACTGGAAGTCAAATCCTACTGAGAAAAACAGAAAGGAGCATAAACTCTTGCAAGTATAAAAACATAATTAGGTAGGCCAAAGAAAGAATTTGAAGAACAACTAGCAAAAGACACAAAAACGAACAGCAATTTTGTTTAAAGTAGATCAGAAGCACGAAGCTGCCAAACAATCACTGGGGCCACTGGATAACCGAGGTGCTAAAAGAGCACTCGAGGAAGATAAGGCTGTTGCAGAGAAGCTAAATGAACTTTTTGCATGACTCTTCACTGCAAAGGATATGAGGGAGATTCCCACATCTGAGCCATTCTTTTTAGGTGATAAATCTGAGGAACTGTCCCACATTGAGATGTCAGTAAAGGAGGTTTTGGAACAAATTGATATATTAAACAGTAATAAATCACAAGGACCAGATGGTATTCACCCAAGAGTTCTGAAGGACTTCAGATATGAAATTGCAGAACTACTAACTGAGGTATGTAACCTATACTTAAACCAGACATCCAGATGACTACAGGATAGTAATGTAATGCTGATTTTAAAATAAGACTCCAGAGGTGATCCTAGCATGCAGGTACACCTAACTTCAATACTAGGCAAGTTGGTTGAAATTATAGTAAAGAACAAAATTATCACACATATATGAATACTGTATGTTGGAGAAGAGTCAACATGGCTTTTGTAAAAGGAAATCAAGCCTCACCAATCTATTAGAATTCTTAGGAATCAACAAACATGTGGACAAGGGTGATCCAGTTGGCATAGTGTACTTGGACTTTCAGAAAGCCTTTGACAAGGTCCTTCACCAAAGGCTCATAAGCAAAGTAAGCAGTCATGGTATAAGAGGGAAGGTCCTCTCATGGATCATGGAACTGGTTAGAAGACAGCAAACAAAGGGTAGGAATAGATGGTCAGTTTTCAGAATTGAGAGAAGTAAATAGTGGTGTACACCCCGGGGGTCTGTACTGGGACCCATACTGTTCAACATATTAATAAATGGAAAGGGGGGTGAACAGCGAGGTGGGAAAATTTGCAGATGATACAAAATTACTCAAGATAGTTAAGTTCAAATCTGATTGTGAAGAGTTACAAAGGGATCTCACTAAACTGGGTGACTGGACAACAAAATGGCTGGTGAAATTCAATGTGTGTAAGTGAAAAGTAATGCACATTGGAAAACATAATCCCAACTATATATACAAAATAATGAGTTCTAAATTAGCTGTTACCCCTCAAAAAAGAGAACACAGAGTCAAAAAGCGAACAGAATGTTAGCAACTGTTAGAAAAGGGATAGATTATAAAACAGAAAACATTGTGATATGCCTCTGGATAAATCCATGGGACAGCCACACCTTGAATACTGTGTGCAGCTCTGGTCGCCCCATTTTGAAAAAGATCTATTAGAATTGGAAAAGGTACGGAGAAAGGCCACAAAAATGATTAAAGGTATGGAACAACTTCCATACGAGGAGAGATTAAAAAGACAGGGACAGTTCAGTTTAGAAAAGAGATGCGGGGAGGGAGAGATGTGACAGAGGTCTATAAAATCATGAATGATGTGGAGACAATGAATAAGGAAGTGCAATTTACTCCTTCACATAACACATGAACCAGGGTTCACCTGATGAAATCAATAGGCAGTTTTAAAGCAAACAAGTAACTACTTCACACGACACACAATCAACCTGTGGAACTTGTTGCCAGGGGATGTTGTGAAGGCCAAAAGTATAACTGGGTTCAAAAAAGAATGAGATAAGTTCCTGGAGGATAGGTCCATCGATGGCTATTAACAAAGATGGTCAGGGACGCAATTCTATGCTCTGGATGTCCCTAAACCTGGGACTGCCAGAAACTGAGACTGGATGACTGGGGATGGATCACTCAATAATTGCCCTGTTCTGTTCATTGCCTGTGAAGTATCTGACACTGGCCACTGTCGGAAGACAGGATACTGGGTTAGATGGACCATTGATCTGACCCAGTACGGTCGTTCTTATGTTAAATCTACTCAGCTCAGTTCAAGCTACTAGCTACAACATTAGAGAGAACTGGATTGTAGGGCAGCTTTTTCAAGGACAAAGACACATTCAGAATTTCATTCAATGCTCTAAGCGTCATGATGTTTACGCTTACCTGGTAATGGGAATAGTGCGTTCCTGACCTCCTGCAGCTCCAGCAGTCGTCTCTTTTTGCGAAGTGGTTGGGCTTGACTTTGTTTCACTCAGTTTCTCATCCGGAATTTTCCCAGTGCTGTCTTGCTCTTTGCCTGACAATGAAAACAGGACCTGTTAGACTAGTTCCATAGGACAGCATGGCTGAAACCAAGGGCGCATCTTTGAGATCAATTTCTGCTCTGAGTTCCAGCAGAACAACCCATCAGACTTCAGTGGGGTTCAATCACCGTAACGAAGAGGAGAATTTGGCCCTTTTCAGAGGACTAGGTGAAACGAAGTGTTCTCAGTGAAATTAAAATTATTGATGTTAGAATATGGCTGACTGGGCAAAAACATCAGGATTTTTGTTGTGAGGAAACACCAGGCAGGAATAGTAAAGGTACAAAGAAAATTTAAATAGAAATGAAAAAAAAACCCAGCATGTGTGAAGCAAACGAGTTGATCAATTACACACATTCAAGGGAAATAGTCGGCTGAGTTTGTCCTCCAGCTTGCAGATTGAATGAAAATGACAAATTTTGACTCTTGATAAATTTCAATGCTTCCATTATTAGGGTACACCAACAATTACTGGACTGATTGTCAACTCACACTGGTGTAAATCAGAAGTAGCTCCAATGAAGTCAATAGGATTATACTGATGTCAAACCAGTGCAAAGGAGATAAAAATCAGGCTCTAATATGTGCTACTACTGTAAAGAGGGCCTAGTTCTGATGTCACACCTTTTACACTGTTATAACTCCATTGACTTCAATGGACGTTCTCATTTACACTGCTATGAGTGGGAGCAGAATCAGGTCCAGACTCTCTTTACCAGAAATATGACGAAATGAAAAGATGGGTGGGTTCTTCAATCAAGGTGTTTCCTCCAAAATGGGCTTGATAGTCTATTCCAGCAAGAACTAATCACCTTGTGATACGTACCATCAGGGTTACCTATAAGGGTGAAGAATGCCATGTCCTGTGCAATGGAAGTGTGCCAAGTGCAGAGGAAGAGAAGCATTGTCATTCTTTGGTAGGGTGGCTGGGAGACCATTAGTGATGGCTTGTACTGGAAAGAGAAGCGACTCTTCCTAGTAAGCTAATTGGGCAGCTTTACTAGAGAGCACTGTTATCTAATGGCATCCAACAAAAGACCACAGTTCACCGATGAGTAGGAGCTTCATTCAATGCTTTCTTACTACCAGTGCTATTGACATATTTGCCTTCTTGTTCTTATTCAGAATCAGGTGATCAAAGGGACACATGTCAAGATAAGAAGCATCTATTTCTAAAAAGCACATACCCACGTTAATCATGTCTTAAGTCATTGAAAATGAAAGAACGTTAAAAATACTTAATTTACTTTTTCACCTTTGTACGCTGCTGGTTTCCCTTTTTGCACTTCCCTGAGCTACTGCCAAGGAACTAAACTATTCTGTTTCACTTTCTGCTTATAATCATTTTTTTTTGGTTCTCCTGCACTGGCAGAATGCTATTGTTTTGGGTTTCCAACACTACAGAGGAAAGACTTTGAATAAGTGGCACCCAAACATTTTCATGTAATTTATTTTGTTTGATTCCATGAAATGTCTGCACGCTCATTATGTTGTGTAACAAAATATTTTTTTAACAAAAATCTAGATTTGGGGGCCGAAAGCTATTTGACAGTGTCCCTTTTAGACCACACTGGATTAAGAACAATTATTATGACTTGACACAAAATGACAATGGGTTAGACAAAACGGTTCTCTAGTTATTATGGCAGCTAGTAAAGGTGAAGAATGAAAGGGCTGTAGTATTCACCAGGCTCTTTACAAGATTTAAGAAGTGAAATGTATTTACCATTTTTTAAAAATAACATACAGTAACACAAACATGAAAGCTTTTGTTCTCTTTGCAAGACATAAATTGACTCTAGTTATACAGAGCATTATTTTTACTCATGAAGAAAATGCTCAAAATTCTATTAGGGCTACAATGTAAATCGAATGCAAATAAATCCTTAATACCCTTCTAGCCTAAAAAGTCTGCAGCACTTAGCCAAGGCATGTCAAGTAGAAAGGCCTGAATCACCATGTTGTTTATGACACTCAGTAAACATAAACAAATAATATATTCAGGGTCTAAAATTCAAGATGACCCCAGGCTAAAACCCCAGACATGGAACCATCCCCCATCCATGAACTTTGGGGACATTCAAAGTCCAAACTCAGCTTCAGATCCAAATTCGCAAATGCCCCCATTTACATCACGAGCCCTGGTCTGGATACCCCCACAATTTGTGGTGTCTGAATTTTGTATCTTAGACCCATCTCTGTTTAGAACACCAAGAAATATAGAATTGAGAAGAGCTTCATTTTTTGGTCTGGGCAACATTTGTGTCTAACATCCACGGGACATTTCCCAAACTCAACCCACACCTACCATGACCTCCAGCACTTTGGGTTTGCGTGCTGACTTCATGAACTATCACAGGATGCCTATTTTCTGTATCTGAAGCTGTGGACTCAAGAACGCCAAAGCCACCAGCCTTTCCTCTCATGCTTGGAGGAAGAGTCACATGCAGTGATGTGGAATCCACGAGTTTCTTCAGGGCCATCCTTATTTCCTTATCTGCACGTTCAAGTGAGGCACGGACAGAAGTCTCCAGCTCTGACTGTGGTGAGACCTCTCCTACAGACAAGAAGAATAGCTTTTCTCTCTTCAGAATAAAAAGAAAAGTTCAGTATCGATCGACCCACAATGTAATTCAGAGCAAACATTTGCATTCAAGTTTTTCCCCCCCTTCTGCAGTAGAGAGCTAATGTGCAAATGTTTATTTCCAGAAAGACGGAGTCTAGCTAGACTTCACAATGCATGTCCAGGAGACTCTGCTCATCCTGCTGCAAATGGCTCAACACACTATGTACACTCACATCTTCTCACCAGATGCGACGGAATTTAGGTGATACATAGTGGTGGAGGTGACCAAACTGGTGACTCAACCTAGGGAGGATGAGTGAGAGGAAAAATACACGGTGTTAAGTTCATCAGATCAACAGAAGGAACCCTGGTTTGACCTCCTGTGCTAACACAGTGTTTTGTGCAACAAAACTGAAGTTATTATTTTAAATGAAAGCTATACTACTTGTTTCTTGCATGGAGAGAAAGGAGAAGTGAATGGGTTAGTTACAGGATGACTTGTGCATTGAGAGAGGAGAGGAAGGAGAGAGGTAAGGGTTTGTGTCAATGTTGTTACCCCATCACACTCAGAGGGACATGGCTGGGGAGCATGTGGAACTGTCCCAAATACAATATTTTGATTATTTCTTAGCTTGTGATATCATATTTTATGTTACCATTTGCCTCAGGGAAACCCGAGAGGAGAAGTGGGCTTTGCACTAAGGGACATCTGAGAGTTATTTGAATTTATTTTTATTAGATTTGTTTCTAAAGCAACATGCCTGTGCAGCACACTGCAGTGGCTGGGCGGTACCGAGGGGCAGCACAGGACTTAAGGGACCTCAGGAGGTCATCTAGTCCAACCCCCTGCTCAAAGCAGGACCAATCCCCAATTAAATCATCCAACAGATTTTTGCCCCATATTCCTAAGTGGCCCCCTCAAGGATTGAACTCACAACCCTGGGTTTAGTAGGCCAATGCTCAAACCACTGAGCAATGTAGAACCCAAGTCCCTCTATTGCTGGTGGCTGGTCTACTAGATTATTTGCTGCGTGGCAGCAGAGTACGGAGGAAGACATGGTGCCTGGCTCAAGGAGCTCACAGGCATAGGCAGAAGGTATAAATCTCCGAAAATAGCCAATATTTATCTCACTTATTTAAATTGGTTCTCAAGCCCAAGGCTCAGTCTCTGAGCAACAGCTAAGTACATAGTGAAGTTTCCCTTCACAGTCACAGCACAATCAGTATCTAACTCAGTTTAAATCTACGAGATTTTATGGGTATGATGAGCTGTACAAGTGTTTGCAAGATGTAAAAAAAGGGACAGGCTCTTCCGCCCCCCCAGGGATCTGCCAGAGGTCGGTCAATGAACCCAGGAGAAGGCTGGACACTGTGTCTGCAATTTGACCCCCATTTTGTAAGGCACACTGGGATGTCTCAAGTGTAAAATGAACAACGCAAACCAAATGATTATTTACTCCATGTTAAGGTTGCCTAACCGTCTTTATTAGAGCCATCCATTTTCAGTTGCTCATAACTTTGTTATTCTAAATATACTTCCCACCTTAAAATAGAATTTTTAAAAATGCTATTCCTATGAAACTGGTGTGCCTGTGAAAAAGAGTAATTTACAGGCATGCCAGGCACCAATCCTGATTGGTCACTACACAATGTAGACCCTTCACAGAATGATCTATAAATGACGGAAGGGCCGATCCTACAAGCCCACTGGAGTCAATGTGTAAGGACTGCTTTCAGGTCAGGGTGAGAGAAAGAGAGAGAGTGTGCTCATGCATGAAGTAGGAAATACGAATACTAGTTTTATCGGACCAGCAAATATTTTTACCAATAAATATGACTCCTGCGGAATGGAGAAAAAATTAACTGTGTTAAAAGCAAGATGGTCATATCACCAGTATCAATAGCTCTTTACCGCTAATGGACTGTACCAAGTGTCTACCTCCATACAGAATCCCCACTGGAAAACGTCATTTTCTTCCGTCTATCTTTTCCTGTGAAGTTCTCCAGGCTTCATTCACGGGGAGTTCCAGCCTCAAAAATGGTTTTATTTCCCCCAGCCCATGAATTCAGTTGTTTTTAGTATTGCTCAGGAGTGCGGACGTGTTTTATTTCATATTCGCAGAAGAAGAAACACTGTAGCTTTTGTTCTGATTCTGCTCCCTTCCCCTTTTACCGGAAATCACTAGGGCAACATGAACTTTACACACAAACCTAAGGGGGGAAAAAAGGCAGGTCCCACCTTGGGTCAGCCCTCTTTGACGGTGTCGCCTCTTAATTTCTTTTTAATTTTCTTCATGTGAATATAGTGGTGATGAAAGGTGCTAGACCTGGAGACTGAAGCCCTCTGTTTATCCACAGGACAGTCAAGCTTCCCTCGATTGCATACCATACTGCCCCACCTGTGTGCGTTAATACTGATCTGGAAGCACCATTTCTGAGACTACCCACCAATTAGTGTAATGTTGGTTTCAGCATCCACTTGTAAGTGAACTGTTATGAAATGAGTGGAATATACTAGTGGTGAACACTGTCCCTTTAGGAGAAAATTTACTCCGATTTAAGTAGGATTAATTTCACAGGGATAATTAAACATGATCAGACAAACAATGGACACTGTAGACCAAATATACCCAATTCTTCAGCAGCACAAGCTTAAATCTTCTTACCTCACTGCCATGTTAGCTCGAGGGATAACTTGAGTGTTATCCCTAACTCAACTTCAATGAACACCCAAAAGTGTCTAGCTCCAGTTAAATGGTGCTTTACACTTAAGCTAGCTGGCCTAAGATATTGCTTGAATCATGAGAGCTGCTGACTAGTAATGCAGTGGGAACTCATCTACTCTGTGTTGCTAATACAAACACTCTGCGCAGCGGGAGTGTTCTGCAGTGTGACTGCTCTCACTTGAGCGAGGCTGACCAAGAGAGTTCATTCTAGTGCACGTAACCAGAGCTAGCAATGCAGTGAAGACAAACTCTTAGTGCACCCTCTATTTCCCGCTTGTAAAACCCTGAACTATTTATTGTAAACCTTAAACCTAACGTGTCCCTTTCAGTGCACTGTACATTTAACCTGATAAGGAATGGCAGTAGCTCAAACATGCTGAAGTTCAAATTCAACTCAGAGAAGCCCCCAAGATGCTGACACAAAGTTCCCAAAAATGCTTCACTTCACAAAACTGGGTGGAAATCTCCCTAAAACAGGCTCTCTCACAATACTTCAGCACTTTTGCAACTCAAGTGCAGTAGCCCTGAAATACACAGAGGTGAAAGTAAGCCGGTCCGGTCCGGCGTACCGGCAAGAGCCGGTACACTGTGCCAGACTGGACCGGCTTCCCCGGCGGTGATTTAAAAGGCCTGGAGCTCCGGCCGCTGCGGGGAGCCCTGGGCCCTTTAAAGTGCCGCCCGAGCCCCACTGCCGGAGCCCCGGGCCCTTTAAATCACCGCCGGAGCCCTGCCGCCCCGGGGTAGCTGCGGCAGGGCTCCTGCAGTGATTTAAAGGGCCCAGAGCTCCGTGGTGGCCGGCACCCCGGGCCCTTTAATTTGCCCCTGAACCCAGGGGCTCCCAGCCGCCTCTGCAGCTGGTAGCATTGGGGTGATTTAGAGGCCCTGGGGCTCCCAGCCACAGCCGGAGCCCCAGAGCCTTTAAATATTGAAAGGCCCCGCCTCTTCCGGTTGAGGCCACGCCCCTGCTCAGGACTCCGGCATATGGGTAAGTCCTTTAAGTTACTTTCACCCCTGGAAATACAGGAGTGCAGCTGGGGGTCCCAACTAACTCCCACTGACGTTCATGGACTCTCATTAACTTCAAGAGAGAACCAGTTACCATGAAGAAACAAAAACACAGAAGCAAGTGATTTCAATGATAGCTGATGCAAGACATTTATTGATATGCACTAGAGCATCTAATAACATATCTTGACTTAGATTTATTTTAGTTTTTTGTCTCTCAAACAAACTGAAGTTTCCACCTTTTTCACACCCTTTTGCCTGTGGGAATTGCAGTAAAACATTCTTTGTGTTAATTTTAATAGTGTTATGTCTTCATCTACAAGAAATAAACCCCCACACATATCCTTAGTTATCTACAAATTTTAAATCACTTACAAGCATACTTTTTAACCTCTAGGAAAATACTTTGAAAATAAACGTAAAGGACTTTTTAAATTTTTTTTTCATTTTTTAAAAATAGAGTACCATGATAGGATTTTTAATTCCTTTTTTACTTATATTTTTTGTTTAAATTTCCAAAGAAAATGTAAACAGATGTTAGTTACTTTTGGTTGATCAACAGAAATAGAAGTATTTCTTTGCTACAACCATTTGAAACGCAACTTTATTTAATTAAAAAAGTGATTACTAAGCAAAAACCAGGTCAAGAGAAAATTAATAACTCCACATTTCATTGTATATCTTGACAGACCTAGATCTATTTTATTTCTGCTTAAAGATGGCTCTGGGCTAAATTCTTTTCACAGTTGCATCTGTGTAAGTTTGACTTCAGTGGAGTTATTGTGGATTTACATCAGAGTAACTGAGATCAGAATATGGCCCAATAAAATAGAAATATTTTCAGTTCAGAAATATTTCCTCCCCTTGTATGTCTGTTACTCTCCAATGTACAGTAGTGCAATATTTCTCATAAGTGAAGAACTAATATATAGCCATTGTATAGCTTAATTATAAAATATACAGTATAAACCAACGAGGTGTTATTGAAAAAATGATAGTACCATAAAAGAGGTTTTATGTCTTTCACCACCTATAGTCACTGAGAAATTTTCAAACTTCAAAAATTTAGTGCACGTTTGTGTACAAAACATACCCTCTAGATACGGAAATGAAAAAGAACATTCAATTACTGAGTTACTTTTAGCCATCACATGTTCCAGGTTCAGCTCTTTAAACAAGGATGGTAATTTTTGTGATGGCACCTTTTTAAAGTTAGACGTACCTTTTCTTAGGCAGTGCTCTGCAGAACACCGGATCAAGTTTCACATTATCTAGTTAGGTAACATCAAGACTGAAAACATTGGCATGTGATGTTCTAAGAGAAAACTCACTTCATCCTCTTTAAGATGATTAGCAAGCAAACTGTCTCTTAGCATTCTTCTAACATCCTGGTCTGTACCATCCAGATAAAAATTATTGTTTTTTCTAGCAACATTATCATGCGACTCAGCTTACATAAGGTTTTGTTTCTTTTTCTCACATCTTCTGTCACAGAGACAATGTCAGACACCCGGGGCCAATTCCTGGTCCTACTGGTATGTCTACACTGCATTTAAAAACTAGTGGCTGGCCCGGGACAGCGGACTCAGGTTTGTGGGGCTCAGGCTAACGGGCTGTTTAACTGTGGTGTCGATATTCAGGCTCTGGCTGGAGCCCAGGTTCTACAAGTCTGTGAGGGGCCCAGAGCTCGGGCAAGCCCGAACGTCTACACTGCAGTTAAACAGCTGTTTAGCCCGAACCCTGAGTCAGCTGGCACAGGCCAGGCGTGGCTTTCTAATTGCAGTGTAGACATATCCATTGAGAACAATGGCAAACTTTAACTGACTTCAAGTGGGACAAGAACTTAGCTCTAAGAACTCAGTCTGATCAAGGGACTGAGCACCTTCTGAAAGTGCTATGCAACAGCAGTTTTCACTGAAGCCAGTGAGAGCTGAGGGTGCTCAACACCTCTCAGAGGCACTCAGCACCTTGCAGAATTATACCCTTACTGGATTAGCCACCATCATGCATTTGAGATCTCTGTGTCAAAGCTCTAGAGAAACACACCGGTCTATGATAAAGGGTGACCTCTACAACATAGCTAAACCAAAGTGGCTACAGTATAATGGTACATCTTGCACTGGCAGTGTATTCAAATGGCCTAGTACATTAAAATCCCATAAAAAACTTGAAGCACAACCCCCCAAAATTTCTGTCAGATGTATTCTTTAAACAGTTGTTTCTTGAAGAGGGATTTAATTGTATTAGTACTTCTGCAATTTTGATATGGTTCATAGGTAAATTTTCATTAGCAGATTAGGAAACTTTAATCACTAATGGCAAAATTTAACCATTAATATGTACAGGAGACATAATTAACCATTCTACTCACACAGTAATTGTTCATTTATGAAATAATTTATTTATGGTTCTACATATGTTTTTAATCTGGATTATAGATATTGCATTAATTTATCCATTCCTTTAATCAATACTCTTAAGTGTAGATAATGCAAACCTCTATCATAATTTAGATGATTTATAGCGTTACTGCACTTGAATAAAGAATGCAGAACCATAGAAACGCATACATCTTAAAAGATTAACAAAAAGTAGTTGATTAACAATGATGGCCTTTTTAATAAAGGTGGAGCGCAGTTGTACTCAAGGGGTGAGACTGGGCTCTGTTGAAGTCAATGGGAGTTTTGCCATTGACTTTGGTAGGGTCAGAATTTCACCCAAAATGTTTCAGCCATCTCTTAAGTCATAAGTCAGTAGTGTTGCCTAATAAGTGTATTACCTTCTATAGGTTTCACTCTCTGGAAAATATATAATCATAATTTAAACCGACTGCACATTCTAAAAAGTATAGAAAGACATTTTTGGTAGAGCTAATTTGTCCCGTCAGCATTTAGTAAAAGTAAAGCAGTGCAAACTATTTTGCTGGCTGTCTGGCATGTACAGTGACAGAAGATATGCTTAAATGAAACTACCCTCCCTTCTCTTGATCGCTGGAAGGCATTGCCAAGCTGAGATACCTTAAATGTCTCACCACTGAGTGACTTCGCAGTCTGAGAGCTCAAGTAATTTTTAAACTCTCGAAGAAAAATGTGCTTATTTATATTTTTGTCACAAGTAGGAGAGGCAGGTCACCCTAAGTCTATTGAACCTGCCTCTCCCCACTTCTCTATGGAATGATATGCTTTCACCAGGATCAATTATAAACTGAACTGATAGAAGTGTTCCCTTTAAGACTGGAAAAGCTCTACATGTCACGGTCTATACGTTTTCCTTCAGGTATTTTTCTTTTAGGTGTTGCCCTATAATTCTCACCACCAATCTCACCCGCCCTCGAATGTTTTTGTTTGTTTGTTTATGTATTTTTTTTTATTTGATTTTAAGAATGCTGCTTGTATCTGCTCAGCTCTGGGAGGGGTCTTCTGTGCTGATGTGCAACATAACAGGCTCGCCGATAGTTCCATAGCTGAGGGTTCTTGTGGAAACTTCAGTTTTAAAGCTGGACTGTCCGTTGTCCGCTGAGAGCTGGACTCCGGTACAGAAAGACGGTTTCAGTTGGAAGGAAGGTCCAGGTGAGGCTGCTGCCGCTGCTGCCTGCACACCGGGTGCGGCGGCTGCAGTGCACGTCTCACTCACATGGAAAGAAATGTTAGACGGACCCACGGACTGCACTCCTGTTACTCTGGATGCGGACATGAACATTCCTTCAGGACGGTGCTCCTTGAACTTGCTGAAAAAGCTTTGCCTTGGTTTAGGAACAACAGGTTTCCCGAGATTTAGCAACACCGGCTTCCCCACCGTCGGTTCATTAATTTCTGTCTGGAGCACAGAGATCTCACAGGGTTTGTCTTCTGTGTAGTTCTGATCATCACATCCATAGGTCTCACCTTCCTCAGGAAAGTAATCTTCAAGGTCTTCCAGAGTTAGCACTTTTCCATTGTGGGTCAGGATTTTGGGGTCTCGGTTGCCAATGTCATCCGTCTCTAGGTCCTCTGGCTCATCAATTATAACATTATCTTCCTCTGGAAGATCCTCATCTTGTACTGTATCAGGTACGCCCCCTTCAGCAGTCCAAGACTTATCTAACTCATCAGCTTCTTCCTTAACCCCTCGGCTCATCGGTGAAGGTGGAAGGTCAGGCTCGCCTGCATCAGCTGTCTCCAAGCTAAAGACAAAGGGTTCACCCACACAGGCAAGCAGTGGGGAAGTAGCTTCTGAAACATCATCATTGCTTGCTTCCTGCATGCAGCTCTTTCCGTCAGTCCCATAGTCAATGAATGAACTACTTCCTAACTGTTCAGACCCACACTGAGAACTTATGTCTTCTTCACTGTTGACTGGAGCTCCTTCCTGGTCTGCTCCATATGCAAGGGTCGGGATGTCGACATCTGAAAGACTGTCTCTAGGCAGGGAAGACTTGTCCTGCTCCACTAATTTATTGTTGGAATTGTTTGTGTTTGGGTCATCTTCAGAGGAACGCCTAGGTCTTGGGCCAGGCATAGTGAATGTCAATACTCCTGAGTCATCTTTTTCTGGCTTTGCTGGGGAAGCTCCTCTTTTCTTCGTAGGTTTGGGTGATTTTTTCACCTTGAATTCAATTATTTCCTCCACTTCGACCCATTTGGGTTTTTGTTCTTCCACCTTGGTTTCTACGACAAAAGCTCTAGCTGCCGCTCCTTGTCTGTCCTCTGGCTCTGTCACAAAGAGCGTAGGGATGACAGTCTTCCGCGTGGCTTCCGGCTCATGCCTATGTATAGGTTGCCTGACCTTTGTCACATAAACTGGCTCTGGGGTCAGCAGCTCTGATCTTGGAGAGCGGGAGAGAGAGTAACCTGAAGGAGGACGGGCGGGAGACATCTTTCGCTTTTGCCTTGGGGTCTTCACCACAGTTGTTATCGTTTCCTCTCTGATGACAAAAATGGTTGAAATGGAGTTTGCGTGAAGCCAAAAACCGTTCTGGGATCCACACTCCCTCAGCATACACTCATTGTGGACAAAGCCACCAAGGTGGGGTTAGTTTTGTGAGCACCCAATTTTGTGAGCATTTAAGTTTCAGAGGGACACACACATACTCAACTCACTTTCAGAATCAGGTTTTCTGTCAAGAGAGCTCTGCACTGTCCCATCCAAATGTTTTCCAAATCCATTCACACTTGGAATGCAAAGAAGCATGTTCAGTATGTCCAGCTAAGGAGCTCTCTTTTAGATGCCTGCTATATTGCATGCTGCTTCACTGACTAGTATCAATGATTTTCTTAGAACAGTAACAGTGTTACTTTGCAGTCATATAGCAGTATCATCCAAAGATCCCAAAGACACTCAAAGAGTTCAACCCATTCCCCCTGATCCAGTCTCCTTGGGTGAAATCCTGGAGCCAGTGAAGTCAATGACAAAAATCCCATTGACTTCAACAGGGTCAGGAATTCACCTCTTATTTATAAACATATTCTCTCTTTTTGTAGCTTAAAATGAATGGTCACAAAGAAAGGGTTTGTTTACCTATCAATCAACAGCATGGATCATAGACCTGCATTTTCACACACACAAAAGCAGTGTTAGAAGATCATTAAGCACATGGGGGAAGCCAAGGAAAGGAAAGACAGTTGAAATATTTCCTGAAGAAGCTATTCATGCCAAGACATTAGTATTCCCTCTTGCCATAAGAGTGTGTGCATTTATTTTTCTCTTTATTTTTACAGTAAAAATGATGATGGGCTAGCATACTGCATGGAACCTGATCCTACCCTCAGTGTGAGTGTTACCTAAGTAGTACAGGATCAGGCCCATAATGCATGTTCACTATTTCTCAGAATAATTCTACTGGCTTTGCTGTAGGTATGGTGAGGTGCCCAGAACAACAAGGACTCCTGCACATTGAGGTCTATATTATATGCACTTGGATACATACACACTGATGTCAATGGGATGCACCTATCCCAGGGCAGAATTTGACCTTAAACATGCTGCAGTATAGATTGGGATAAATATCAGCTTCCCCAGACTTCTCCAACAAAGCAGTCCTTTTCCCCTGACTTTTTCCTGTAGCCGTAACACTGAAAAAGCCACAAGGAAAGCCACATGTAAAAATGTACATTTCAAATAGCACAACAGCCTGGGTTTAAAGAGTCTCAGCCCCAAATTTAGAGGTGGCTGGTCCAGGGGAAACAGGAGAGGCAAAGCCAAGTTTGTTTTTCATTGAGATACAGCCTCTAGCATCAAGCGCAGAGCCAGAGGCCGAAAGGGAAGCAACTGAAAGATAAATAAAGAGGACTGGACCCAGGAAGGAATGAGTATGAATTCATATTTTCAGCCTCACTCCCCAGCTCCACATGGCAGTTCCACGCCTCAGTCTATAGCAAGATGGGCCTGCCGTCCCAAATTTATGCATTAACTTGCTCCGTGTTGGTAAAGTTTGAACATTGCCATCCTCATAGATACATACTTAGGGCATGACTCATCTCCCATTGAAGACTTCATTAAGCATTGGGTCAAGCCCTCAGAGGTTTAACTCAGTATTCTCTGTAGAATTTACTTATCAGGACCTTAGTAATCAGTTTACTGAATGGCATTTTGTGCTTGTTGAATAATATTTAACGAAGTGTATTACTGCTGGAGAGAATTAGAAGACAATTTAAAAAGGAGAGAACTAGAACAAGATCGCTGACATCACCAGATGACCGAGAAGAAATCCAAAACAAAATGCATTGTCCTTCTGTCTGCTGATTTATTGCAGCAGAGGCTCACAAAGGTAAAAGCTTTAAACTGTTGCATGGCCTGACCCCGGGCAATCCCTGGAAGAGCAACAAGGACTCATTTTTGTGGGCTACTTCTGAATGTGTTATCTAAAACTGTGTCTTGGATAATCTCTAGCTAACCCACTGGTATTTTACATATGGCACATGACAATTTGGTACGGACAGTAATGCTAGGGGTTCTGCTCTTTGCAGAAGTAAAACTTTTTCACCACTGCCCAAAGAGCCCAATCTAGCTGCCACTGAGGTCAAAGGAAAACAGCAAAAGGCAGCACCTCTTCCCACTTTACCCTTGTCTGCCTAGTGGCTATTTAGTTTGAAAACTCTTAGGTGCCCGGACCTGTTGTCTTACACACCTACATGGAGCCATTGGTACTCAATGTGCTATATAAATGAATAGAAGATTATAAGAATAGACAAGAATAATAAAACAAGTAAAAGGTGGCATTCAGCTTTTGTTTATATGTATATTTCAGTTGTTGTTTCATACACGCTCATCATAATTTAACAAGGGTACAAAGAATTCAATTATTAGTATCTGCTTTCATGGCCAAGCCATGAACTTGCTTCTAACAATGTCGTGTCTCATGTTATTGAGCCAGATTCTACCGTCTCAAACTCATGTGCAATTTCCATTGACATCAGTGGGATCTGTGCTCATATATCTGAAGGAAGAATTCAGCCCAGACTGAGTCTAAACGCTAGTGTTCCTGCTTTTTGAGAGGGATGGAAACATTTTTCAGGTTGTTACATTTTATAACACAAAATACCAAGAAATCGGATGGGATGGGAATGAACACACTTGCACGGCCAATAAACACAGGCTTGTTATTGGATCATGCATAAGCAGCAAGTCAAAACATGACTGTTAAAAAAAAAAAAAAGCACTTACATGATGATGGTTTTCTTGGGCACTTTAGTCTCTTGTTCAGTGACTACAAAGAAAACAGTATGAACAGCATGGGGTTAAAGAAAGGCAAAAGCTGAAATGATTAAATTAACTTTGTTAAGTTAATCAAGAGAAACTTGAGTGAAAAAACACATGTATCATCCCATCCATGCTTTCTGTGGTTATCTGCAGTGTTATCCTTAGCGTCTCTGATCACTACTGGGGATTCCCAATGTTGCCTATGCAAAGAAGGGTTTTGAGCTGATGTGGATTCTTATGGAGACAATGTTATAAAACAAAAGGAACTGTTTTTTCCACCTTGATATCCTGGAATTTGTCTTTGGAAAATCAAAACTTCTGCAAGCTACCATGTGAGAGATCAAAATATGTCTCTCAAGGGAATATTCAGCAGAGCTGGAATCCTTTAACCTATGATTGTCATGTTTCTGGAAAACATCTGTGTATTGTTTCTGGAGTTTCCCGGACTAAATAATCAGTCAGTTTTCAGGCTTCTGCAAACTGGATTCAAGATCCAAGCTTATCAAAAAAAAAAATCATTATAGAAAACTAGCACAAAAAAGCTCCCCAAAATGAGAGTCCATCTATATGCCTACAGTATGCATATGTCTGCTCCATCCATGCATATTAACTCTGTATAGCTCTCTACCTATGCCCCCATAATATAAAATACTGCTTTAGAGGTGCAACATAAAGATTTCAGATAGGATAGAGTAATCAAAGATTTTTTTACGTTAGAGATTTAATAAAAAAGGAAAAGCAAAGAGGTGTAACATTTCAAAAGCTAATAGAGATTTTCATCATTTTCTCTACCAATTTGTTGGTACAGCATCATGACACCATATGAACTAGACTGTATTTAATGCACTCAGAACTGCTGACTATAAGTGGGATTTTGCAAAACAAGACTTCAAGCCCCAGTCTTTGTTCAGTGACAAGTTAGTGAGCTTCTAAAAGGCTAAGTTTTTCTATGAATTATATTTCCAGCAACCAGCTTAATAAAGCAAATAAGCTCCAGTATTATTATTATTTAGTTTGTATAATTAAAAAAAAACACTTTAAAAGTGAACTGCAAAATTTTCGTTGTTGTTTTTGAAAGAAAGCCTTTTATTGTCCCAAGTCATTATCTGTACAGTAACAGTGGCTGCTGTACAAAAGTTACCAAGAGTTACTACACAGCAATATCTGAGATATCACAGATAGTTCCTGTTCAAAATACAGGGGGAAAAAAATCTAATCTCTGATACATCTTTTAGCAAATCCTGATTCTTTAAATGGTCACCAACATGTCTATAGACTAAAAAATTCAAAATATATTTAAATTATAAGACAAGATATCTGAAATTTAATTTCACCTTCACTTAATTTACAAGGGCCCTATCCTGCCATTGAGCTAAGTATGGAAATCCCATTGAGATAAATGAGAATTGTGTGCAGAAGTTGAAGTCAATATTCCATGTTTTCTCTGCTGGAGTGCTAGTTTCACAAATGCCTAAAAAAAAAAAGAGCAGGTGGTTGTTCCGTGCTGTCTTCCAGTTTCTGTTAGGCGAACACAGACGGTCAGATTCTGCTTTCAGTGACGCTATGTAAACCTAGATTTTTTTCATTAATGTCAATGGAGTTACACTATATTTACACTGGTTTAAATGAGACCAGTTTTGGACTAGAATCTAGACTATAGATATTAAATATAGGAAGAAATTATTTTCAAATGTTTTGTTTTCAAAATTAAATAAAATTTTAAGCCTAGATATATATTTCGTTAGTAACTTGGAAAACTTTTGAAACTATTTAAAATTTGCTTTACATGGAAGTTGGACTGGGCCCGTAAACAGTATTTTGCGTTTGCATCCAGGTTAGAAATGTTCATAGAATCATGAACCCTTTAAGTCAAGATTCCCAAATAGATAAACAATTTGGATATAACAAACTAATAGAAATACTCCTCCAGATGGGTTACTCCTGGTTTAAACCAAAGTAAGCAAATGAGAATCAGGTCCAATATATTTATGAAGATTAATTAGTGTGCAATAGATATATGATGTAAAGCAGGGGGGTTGGACTAGATGACCTCCTGAGGTCCCTTCCAACCCTGATATTCTATGATTCTAAATAAATATATTTTATGAGGTTCTTTTAACAGTTACTGTATGTTGAATACTAGTTGATTGTTAAAAATGTATTTAATGAGTATCCAAAATTGTCTAACAGAAAAGAACTGTATCAAATGTTCGGTTAGGAAATATCAATAAATATGTGTCATTAGTCACTGGTATTTTATTGAACTGCACCTTATTAAACCTAAACAAATACACTGCCAAACCTAAATGCACTGTTCTCTGTCCTTGCACACAATTCCCATGATCAATGTCTGATCTTGCACTCCTTCCAACTGACAACAGTCCTGGTCGTTCTGCATGCAGAACTCCCAACTGGTGTCAATGGAGATTCTGTATACAAAAGTTCTGCAGGACTGGGCACAAGAGCGCCAATCATAAATTAAATGGGGTATATGGGTCCTAAATATTTAAATTAAAACTTTAATTTAGTGCATGGCAGTTTATATAGACTCTCCGAGGTATGATAGATTTGAAGCAATCCTGTATGAAAGATAGAACCACATGAAAGTAGGATGAGGGAATTCGGGAACATTCCTGCATCAGTACTATTTGTAGGATTTATCATTTCAACTTTTTTGTAGCATTTTAGAAAAACAGCTTTGCAAAGCAGGAGATCCTGATAAGCAGATTAACAGCTCTAAGCATTAGGTTCAGCCAACGATTCTACGTTTTTGTTAATACGTTAAACCAACAGCTCACACATTATGAAAGGATTATAAGAATGCGTTTGAAGGCAAATAGAACCCTCATAACTTTGAGATGCATGAAAGATGATTTCCAACGTGATTTTTATTACAATCTGTAAATTCAACCTTGTCCCCCTCTGAAAACCATAATATTCCATTGCGCAGGATGCACTGAGCATGTATATCAAGGAAGATGATTACTGAATTTTCCTGATCCTTGGTGCTAATTTTACCAATTAATACACAATGTTATTGGTTGTTTTTTTGTTTTTTACAAATGTACCATCAACTGTTGAATCTAATTACACTGCAGACAATTCACGAACAGAACAGAATTTTCTAAACTGCTTTGTATGAAATACAAATATTCTACTTTTTCTCTAAAGAAAAACTGGGGTTGGAAAAGCAAATTTATAGCTTTAGAAGCCTTTACTTGGAAACAATACTGTGTGTTTGCTATGACTGAGATGTTCTTGTGCATGGTACAATAAATAATATATGGAGATATACCTATCTCATAGAACTGGAAGGGACCCCAAAAGGTCATCAAGTCCAGCCCCCTGCCTTCACTAGCAGGACCAAGTACTGATTTTGCCCCAGATCCCTAAGTGGCCCTGAACTCTCAACCCTGGGTTTAGCAGGCCAATGCTCAAACCACTGAGCTATCCCTCCCCCCAACACATTGCCAGCCCGAAACTAAAAATAAACATCAATAATAATAGTAAATTAATAATAAGAGAACAATTAAAAAAATAATAATATCATGACCTTCACCCTAAAAATGGAACTATTAAAAAGTCTAGGGAGCAAACCCACATTCTCTAGCTCTTTGGCAGGACTGTGGGAAAAACAGAACTAAAAATACTTTGTACTTCTACAGCTATCTTGCCTTTGAGAATCTCAGAACACTTAACATTATTCTGTGAGACAGGTATTACGAGGCAAACTGAGGCACAGAGTGATTAAGTAACTTGCCAAAGGTCTTACATGGAGCCAGTGGCAGAGGTAAGAATGGAACCCAGGAATCCAGATTCCCACTTCCCTGCTATAAACACGCTCCATCCCAGTGTTCACTCTTCTGCAAAATCTTGCTTATTTCCACTTGTGCTTATGATTATTCCTGCTAATAAAAAGTTTTCCATTTGTCATCTCCTAGTCTGTACCATGCCAGTCAGAGATGATGGGAATTCAATAACTTTCAGAAATGTCGCAGTTTTGTTTTTAAAAGTGAAGTGATTGCAAGTTAGTGAACCTGGGTTGAATAATTTGCTGTATTATGATGTTAAACATGAAAGCTAGAGCCATGGCGAATCAGCATGTCTTTAAAGATTTGCGACATCTAAATTAAGCAGCAAGGAGTTTGGTTGCAAAGCAGATATTCAACTTGAACTCAAATAGAAAGGTTATCTCTCTCTCTCTCTCTCATTTTAACCCTACAAATAATTGTGTGAAAGTCCTAAAATTCTTCCTGAATTTGGATTTCTGTTTTTAAATCAGTTCTCAGTTGACTTCAATGCAGTGGCCAGGTGCTAACTGAGGGCAGAATTTAACCTTACACATTGCAGGCTTGGTGCCTGGATTGCTAATTGTGCAGAACAGGATTTACTCATTTAATACTAAGAGTGAAATAAACAGAGGTAACAGTACAGAAAGGCAAGTGAAAAAAACAATGGCAACAAAAATCTCTGTGAGAGTCACAGGAAGAACTGGCAACCATCACACCATACAGCCAGCTGCAAACAACTATTAAATAGGTAAAACTCTTAGAAACAGTGCTGGTGCGTGGGAGTGGGCCAGGCCCGATGCCTGTTCTCCAGTGTAATAATATCACACTGTGATAGCTTATCTTCCTGCTGAAGTCACAAACAATAACATTGCCACCAATACGTAGAATCATAAGGATTGAAAGAGATGGCTCTCGTCAAGTCTGTCTGTCCTTCTGTTCTTTGCCAGGGGAGCCTGGCTTCCCAGCAGATATATCCAGATAGATTATTGGATGTTATACAACCAATAGTTCTTTCCTCACTTACATGTATTAGGCCAAATTCATCTTTGGTGCAACTCCATCGAATGCAATGAAGATATGACAGGGATGACTTTGGCTCATTTTAACATTTTGCTCTGGAAGGCCCCGACCCATCTTTCACTAACTGGAGTTGGATTGGGGCCTTATTTCCTTCGACAATGCCGGTTTGAACCCAATAACCACTAGTCACAACCAGTATCTCTCCAGTTTAAACAACTAATTGTTTTATTTCACAGTACTTCTGGTGCTCCCAGGCAATTGCCGTGTTAGATTTCTTCAATCAACGCCACAAAACAATTACTTTTATAGGAACTATACAAATGTATGATATAAAAACATGAGTAATTCCAAGGTGAATTTAAATGCTTACAATGCTCTAACCTAAACAACACTTTTAATGCAGTTTTGCAATTCATACAATTAGAGGAAAATGTTATAATAAAAAGTTAATAAATTGCAGTTTAGCCTCCTACAAGGTAAATGCACCAAGATATGACACTCTGGTGGTGTTTTGTACATTTTTATCAGCATCTGGGTTCAACACATTCGCTCCCTGAGTAGAGCATTTTAAGGAAACAGCACCCCTCCAGCTGATTAAGTTATGGTATTGATAATCCTAATAAAGTTCTCCCCTGCAGTCCTCAATGATTTGATCACCATAATACAAGGCCACAAAGGAAGTGAGCATAAAGCAGAGGAAAATAATTATGTGACTATGTATGAGATTACCTGGGTTTCTATAAGGATTCAGAAGTTTAGGGGAAATAATGAATAAATTCCAACTTTTCTAGGTCATTAGAAACATATAATGATTCCAAACAGGCTAAATAAATTATAGGCCTGGACACTAATCTGGGTAGCCTATGGTTTCTGACTCCCAACATTAACACTAGCTTCGAGGCAAAAGTAATTGTCGAGAGTACACTTTCTCCCAGTCATGGCCCGCATTGAAATCCTGAGTGCTGTCACTATTCAAATGCTAGTGATGTGAAAAAGTGCTCACTTACCTGTACAGTGACTCTTGTTCTTCGAGATGTGTTGGGCACATATACATTCCAATACATCTGTATGTGAGCCCAATGCACTCAAGCCAGAGACTTTTGCCAGCAGTACCACTAAGCAATGCATGTGGCCCTATTCTCATGTGATCAGAGCAGAGAGCACAGAAGGCGTACAGCTATCACCTCCCTCTCCGTTACTTTGCACTGCCATGTATCTAACTCCTGAAGCAGCGGGAAAGGTCATGGAATGTATATGTGCACAACACATCTTGAAGAACAACAGTTACTGTACAGGTGAGGAACCATTTTTTCTTCCCAAGTGATTGTGCATGTATACATTGCCCGGGAGGTGACTCACCAGCAGTTTTCCTACAGATGGTGGGACTGCAACGCCAAGTTGCCGACGCTGGCGTCCTCTCAGGAAGCCTGTGTAATAGCATGGTGTCTGGGGAAGTATGTACCCATGATCACGTTGCTGCTTTGCACGTCCCATATAGGAATGTTGCTTAAAAAAGCTGATGAAATGGAATGAGCCCCAGTGGAGCGTAGTTATCCTTCATGGAAGGAAGACCTTAGCAAGATCAAAGCAAAGCTTGATGCAGTCAGAAATCCAATGTGAGATACACTGAGCTGCAACTGATCTCCTTTGATTCTTTCACCATAGGCTACAAAGATTCTGGGGCAGCATCTGAAAGATTTGTATGGTCTATGTAAAATGCCCAAACCCTACAAACATCTAAGGCGTGAAGCTTTTCTACAGCCTTGAAAGAATGAGGTTTCGGGAAGAATAGTGGGAAATGAATAATCTGATTAAAGTAGAAGATTGATACCACCTTTGGCATAAACGTAGGGTGCAGCCTAAGGGAAACTTTAGCTTTGCGGAAAACTGTGAGAGGAGGGTCAGCTAAGAGTGCAAGAAGCACTGAGACTCTCCTAGTAAGAGGTAACTGCTAACAAGAATGCTGTTTTCACTGATAATAGTGACAGGGATGGTGTTGCCAGAGGTTCAAAGGGGGGACCCATTAAATGGATCAGAACTAGATTCAGATGCCACGAAGGTACCAGATCGGACATGAGAAGGTTCACATTAACAACACCCGTTAGAAAACTGGAAGTCAAGAGATGCAAAAAGATAGAAAAGCCATCCGCTACAAGGTGTACTACAGAGACAGATGCCAGATGGTCTCAATGAACTAACTGAGAGGTCAGAAAATTTTAGATGCAGTAGGTAGTCCAATATGTGTCTAACCACTGTGAGACTCCGCCCAGATCAAAAACCTTTTCCATTTCACTGCATAGGTCACTCAGGTGGAATCCATTCCGCGGCTTACCAAGATCGCTTGGACATCTCGGGAGCATAATCTCTCCTGATTACTCAACCAGAGATCATCCATGCGGTGAGGCGGAGAGATTGCCAGTTGGGATGCAGAGACATTGGTTTTGAGACAGAAGATTGTCAACAAGGGGTAAAGTTATGAGTGACCGAATGGAGAGTCGGTGTAGGTACATGAACCAGTACTATCTTGGCCAGGCCGGCACTACAAAGATTATGGTTGTCTTGTCTCTTTTTAGTTTCCTGATCACCCTCAAAATGAGAAGGACTGGAGGCAATGCATACAGCAGATGGCTCGACCAGGGAAGAAGGAAGGCATCCATGACAGAGCCCAGGCTGTGGCCTGCTCTGAGGTAGAACTTCCTGCACTTGTTGTTCAGGCTGGTCTATTACTGAGTATTCCAGACAGTGACGCCCCGTTAGCTGGGGCTGGGTTTGTAAGAAAAGGTTCCTGACCAGCTGTGGCTACGAGGGAGACAAGGTCCCCATTTTCAGGGGCTGCGCATTTCTCTGGCCACGAGCAGTGTGTCGTCCTCAAGAGACGGTAAGATCCAGGAGGATGACCCCAGGTGGCGAGTTTCTTGCCTTCCTCCCATGTTTCTCTCTCTCTCTTCTCTAGTGCTTATCTGTAACAAGGATTACAGCCCTGCATACAGGGGGGCTGGAACAATTTTTATAGTGGGGGTGCTGAGAGCCATTGAACCAAACTGTAAACCTTGTAAACTGTAAACCACTTCAAGCCGCCAGGGGGTGCGGTAGGACCCCCAGCACCCCTAGTTCCAGCTTTTATGCCTGCATATGGCACATTATTTGAATCCTGGGGATTTCTCCATACTAAACCCCCAAATGAAAGAACTATCTAATAAACTAAACTATACTAAACTGCCTTAAGCCTAAACTATCATTAGAACCATACACATTTAGAGAAATCTCTTTCTAGAAATCGGCCAACTGAAGCTAAAGAGCCACAGGGAACTCCCAACTCTTGCCACAGAAGGAACTGAGAGGGAGGCAGCGGCCAGGCCCCTTTTATGCCCTCAGCTCTGAGCACGAGGGAAGCAGGGGGCCATGTGCCCTCTGGTGGTACTGCTGGCAAAAGTCTCCCTCTTGAGTGCACTGGATGCACAGACAGCTACAGTGGAATGTATCTATGCACAATTACTCGAAGGAGAAAATAAATTGCGTAGCTGTTTGCAAACCTCTGACATTCAGTGCTGCCTAAGCGCAGTTATGAAGGGTGTAGTTTGTATTCTTTACATATTTCTGGTAGAAATAATCCAAAGAACAAGATAACTTAGGACAGCAGCCCTCTTAAGAAATGAAGAGAAAGACCTCTCCACGGGAGTTCTTACCAACTTAAGTTAAATAAACAAACCAAAAACACTCCTAAAAAAGGAATGGATTCCATGAACATGTGATGTTTAATATCAATGTATCACTTGCTAACAGGTAAATTAACACCTATTCACACATGTGCTTGGAAACCCAGCTGATCCATCAGATGTATTTCTTTGACAATTCCACATATTCTCATGTGTCATTTTAGGAGGCCACTGTATTTCTGCTGAGCTTTAGTTATTGAGCCCTGTCTTTCCTCGGAGTAGCTCATATCACATTCTGCCTCTAGACTGAAACACCACTATTGCTAGTTCAAATGGAAAGAATCAAAAAATCACCAGAATTAGTGGCAGCAAAATAAACCCCTGGCTTGCTCCTCCTTTGCCATTTAATGTATTCCATAAACATTATATGATAAGATAATTCATTGATTTCATCGGTTTGGAAATCAACTAAGTGCGTGATGGGTATACATGATCTGCAGTATACGCATACACGCATAGATGGACATACAGACACATGTACGCTGACAATCAACATGAATAAGACTGTATGATAAGATGGCAAATATATTCAATCCTCAAGAAGATGACTTTAGGGTAATTCAATGTTATACTTACAGAGCTGGCAAAGGGTCATACCTTCTATAGTAATGGCTTGGTCTCCCCTCTTCTCCTGGGCCAGTAATGCTGCACTCTGCTGGCAAAGATCCGCTCCACTCCTTGCTGTGCCTAATCTGTTCATCAGCTAACAAGAATCAAGCAATACTCAGTAAAATGTAGGATAATTTTATACAGTCAATCCCCACTTTACCCTGCTGCAGCCAAGGCCATATGTGCAATTCAGGACTGCATAAATGGCTCAACTGAATCCAAGGGGCAAGATTCAAGTAACTTCAACAGAAGTTAGCTGAATCCGGCAGTAGAAGAATCTGGCCCTCGGGAAATATACTTATGAAACAGATCCCTTGAGTGTGCACATCTCAAATCAGTGCAATTTATGTTACTACTTTACTACTAAGGATTTACTACTGACTTACTACAAAAAATGAAATGCAATTTCTTTTTTCAAGTAATTGAAATTGCCTGCCCCGACATATATGATTTGATTTTCTTAGTTACTTCCTGCTAAGCTTTTGAAATAAAAGGGAATTTTAATGGTTGCCCTTTCGGCTGAAGCCCAAAAGTGCTCTTTCTTGTCTGGATGTTAGTCTGGAGTGGGGAGGATCTCTTTAATTTAGTGATGGGCCCAAAGCAAAACTCCACATCAGAACATCTGAACGTTGCCTGGGGTAGATTTGGAATCTAAACTGATTTCCAAACTGCCTCATTTTTATATTATTTGATGACCCAAAATCTCAGATCAGAGTATCCCCAAACAGTTGGGCCCATCCCTCCTTTATTTTGAGCTTCTTGGTACGTTGCGTGTAACACTTCAGATACAATAACAGTCAAAAATGTGTCCTCAGAGAGAAGAAATTCTTACATTATGATGAGCCAAACAGCAGCGGTTGAAATCTGTTTGAACTTACTTCACATTCATAGTGTCCCATGTCCTCCTTAGAAGCATTTTTGATCACCAAGACTAACACTCCACTCCGTGGCTCACTGAAAGTCTGGTATTTATTGATGTCTGTCAGCGGGGCACCATCTTTATACCACCTGTGCATGGAAAATAGCGAGTCTAAGGCAAAATGTGACATTTCAATGAGTCACTCGCCCATCAACCCAGTGGGCAGAGCAACGCACTCCCAGGCGGGAGATACAAGTTTAGGTCCCAGCTGGGCCTCACACTTTCTGTATTTTTCAGGGATGTGAATCACTGTGGAGGGAGCACACTCATCCCCTGTGGAAAAACAGTCTTACGTTGTTCTCAGGAAACGCGTCAAGCCAATACATACAGCAGCACTGCCAGTCTTCAGAGGATGCTGTACTGAGCTTTCCGCTGCTAGAGAGAATGTCATGATGGACTCCCCAGAACACTTGGTTAGTGAAGTGAATGCATGCTGGGTGACGATAGTTAAAGGAACCCCAAAATATACATCAGCACAATTCATCTGATAGAGTCCTATATCAATTATTATTTGCAGGTTTTTCCCTCTCACACAATAAATTGCTACAATAAATTGCATGAGGAAACCACCCAAACATTTGGTTTCTGTCAAGAAATAACTTCAAGAACTGACCTGATCTGAGGATAAGGTGCTCCTTCAATGGTGCAGGTAAACTGAGCATCTTCGTCTTCAACATAATAAGCATTTCTAACCTTGTTCACAAACCTCGGCGGCACTAGAAAATAAGAATAAACTTAATAAACATGACAGCAATCAAAACATACAACACAGGTCTGTGGCCTGACTGGATCACTCCCATTGGTAGCAGAGCGCAACCAACAAAGAGATCTGACTTTCCGATTCACTATTCCTGAGCTATCAGAGGGCGGTCAAAGAGGACACGCCAGGAATGTAATGCAGAACTGCCTGCGTGTTTTAATGCACATACCTAGTATATTTTATACAGCGGGGAAGTGGTGAATAGCACTTTAAAACAATGTATCTGTACAGGACTTTACCTTGAACAAGGATCTTTCCTAGTGTACTGGCGTTCCCAGCCGGACTGGTGGCAAAGCACATGTACTGTCCTGAGTCAATACCCATCAGAGTGTCCAGGATCAATGTGCAAGAACCATCAGGATCTTCTATGATAATGTGATGGGGATCCATCTCCACTGGTTTGCCATCTTAAAAATAAAAGAAAGAAAAATCCCTCATTAAACCCAGCATCAGTTTAGTACCAGTTTACAGCCTCTGTTTGGGAACTGCACCCTTTTCTTCCACTTTGGACCCTGGCTATCCCCAGGACTGGGAAAGGCATGGAGGTAGGGGGCTTAGAGCTGTGTTTGCCTCTCTAAAAACAGCTGCACATTGCATAAGGTCAGAGTAGCTTCCTTCTCTGCAATGCACCCTGAGAACACAGCCGAGGAGACATTGTATCCACCATGAGCTAAATCCTGATCTCAATGGGCACTGCAGGTGCTCATCACCTGCCATGCTTTGTCCTCGTGTAAACACGAAAACTCTCCCGAAGTCTGTGCTGTGTGGTGAAGGATCTCGTTGATTATGGTGTGTTGTAAAAGGAAAAGACTTAAATGCAGTGAGAGGCACGTGAAACAGCTTTGTATCGGGTGTGAACTTTCAGCAAAGATGTTTTCACTGCAAGTAAAAACTGTAATTATAGTAAAAACAATATCAATACTCACACCTTCTTGTCAACAGTTCGAAATGGGCCACCTTGATTACATTGGCCTCATTAGCACTACAAAAGTGATTTTTCCTCCCTTGGTATTCATCCCTTCTTGTCAACTGTTGAGGATAGCCCACTTCCACCTTAATTGAATTGGCTCGTTAGCACTGACCCCCCCCCCACTCAGTACGGCAACTCCCATCTTTTCATGAGCTGTGTATTTATCCCTGCCTCTGTATTTTCCACTCCATGCATCTGATGAAGTGGGTTTTAGCCCACGAAAGCTTATACCCAAATACATTTAAGGTGCCACAAGGACTCCTCGTTGTTTTTGCTGATACAGACTAACATGGCTACCACTCTGAAACCTGTAATTATAATGTTGCTGGGAAAACATGTGATTCAGTTAAATGATCAGCTACCAAGAAGTTGGTATGGAGCAGTGTGAGTGCCGTGTAAACTAGGAGTATTTATCTCATGACAACACGATGCTGACTATACCTTTATACCAAGCAACTGCTGGCTTAGGAGCTCCTGTTACTTTGCAAGCCAATTTGACAGTTTCGCCCAGCTCCGCTGTACAGTCAGCCAGTTCTTCCTCAAAATTCGGAGGAACTGAAAGAAAAGAGATTTATTAGGCATTTTTAGTGGTTCTGTCCAAAGAATGACTAATGCAATGAAGAAAAAGGACACGCAGGACGGCTGAGCTTTGCAAACCTTAAAGTTTCAACATGGGACACCTGAAATGAAGAGTTTATTAACCAACAGGTTCTAATGACTTCATGGCGTTACAAATTGCTTGTGGATAAACAGAGATCACCATTTATACCTGCCTCTGGAGATTTCCATTACTTGCATCTGAAGAAGTGAGGTTCTTACCCACGAAAGCTTATGCTCCCAATACTTCTGTTAGTCTTAAAGGTGCCACAGGACCCTCTGTTGCTTTTTACAGATTCAGACTAACACGGCTACCCCTCTGATACTAGAGATCACCATGTGTTGGCTAGTGATTTTAGACCTGGGGGACAGGAATGCTGAGTTTTATCCCTCTTTCTGACTCACTCTATAGCCTTGGCAGTTTCTTAGGCCAAGATTTTCAAAACTGACTAGTGGTTCTGGGCACTTCCATTTTTTGCTGCCCAATGTGAGACACCTTACAGGATCCTGTTTTTCAGAAAATGCTGAGCACCCAAAATGTATTCCTGCTTCTTTCCACACTAGTTTATTCTGCACTGAGTACTGTTAAAACACTTTAAGTTTTGACCTTTATGTATATCAAGAAGTTGTATAAAAATAATTTGGAAGTCTCACTTTATAAGAACAAGTTATTAGTAAAAGTTAAAATACACAGCCTTGTTTTCTGTGCAAATGTAGTAGAAATAGAAGCCAAATTTTCTTAGGCTCTATCTGTAATATATGCAAGTGTAGGTGCACATTCAGTAGTTTACTGAATATGCTATAAGCCCGTTGCATGCAATTACCTCTTTGCACCTGTGAATGCAATCTGGGCACTTGGGATCTAATTCAAAGCCCACTGAAATCAAAGGGAGTCTTTCCATTGACATCAATAGGCTTTGGATCAGGTTCTGATTCTGCTCCCATTGACATCATTATCAAAATACCCACAGATTTGAATGGTGCATGTTTGGGCCCTTTTCACCAAATTTTGTTCTCGGTGAACCGCCTATAACCCCTTTGAAATCAACAGCAGGGGCTGGTTGGGATCAAGTGTCCCAGATATATTTCTATTGCTAACTTTTAGTCTTTGTTATAGAGGTTTTAGCAGCTGTATTCCCCCACCCAGCACAAAAGTTCTCTTGATTTCTATGGGACTGTTAAACTGTGCTGGAGAATCTTAGAAATACAGGGCTGGAAGGGACCTTGAGAGGTCATCTAGCCCACCACCTCACCCCCCCCCCCCCCGTCGTGAGGTAAGACCAAGTACACCTAGACCATCCCTGACATGTGTGTGTCTAACCTGCTCTTGGAAACCTCAAGTGACAGAGATTCCACAAACTCCCCTGGAAGCCTATTCCAGAGCTTAACTACCCCTAGAGTTAGAAAGAGTTTCCTAATATCTAACATAAATCTTATTTGTTGCAGATCAAACCCCTTTGACTTGTCCTACTTTCAGTGGGCATACAGAACAACTGGTCACTGTCCTCTTTATAACATTCCTTAACATATTTGAAGACTGTTATCAGGTTACCCCCTCAAATCTTTTCTTTTTTGAATTTTATCTTGGGATAAATCATTGATAACTACTCTTTGCATATGTTTTTTCAACCAGTTCTGCACCCACTTCATAATAGTTTCATCCCTTCTTTACTTCGGAGAATGTCATGTGGGAATGTGTCAAAAGCCTTACTATAATCAAGACATATCATGTCCACAGCTTCCCCCCATCTACTAGGCCAGTAACCCGGCCAAGGAAGAAAATTAGGTTGGTTTGGCAGGATATGATCTTCACAAATCCATGCTGGCTATGACTTATTACCCTGTTATCCTCTAAGTGCTTTCAAATTGATTATTTAATAATTTGTTCCAATATCTTTCCAGGTATCAAAGTTAGGCTGACTGCTCTATAATTCCCCAGGTCCTTTTTGTTCCCCTTTTTAAAGATAGGTACTAGGTTTGCCCATCTCTGGTCATCTGGGACCTCACCCATCTTCCATGAGTTCTCAAATGATAATTTCCAATGGTTCTGAGGTTGCTCCAGCTAGTTCTTTACATACCCTAGGGTGAATTTCATTTTGCTCTGCTGAGCTGGATACATCTAACTTATCTAAATATTCTTTCATCTTTCTTTCCTTATTTTCACTTGCATTCCTTCACCCTGGTTTTTATTGTATTAAGTATTTCGATACAATTTACCTTTTTAGTGAAGACCGAAGCAAAATACGTGTTAAATGCCTCAGCCTTCTTGATGTCATCCATTATTCGCTCTCCTTCCCCACTAAGCAGAGGACCTACATTGTCCTTCATCTTTCTCTTGCGCCTAATGTATTTACAGAATCTCTTCTTATTGTCCTTTATGTCCCTTGCTAGGTGTAGCGAATTTTGTGCCTTAGCCTTTCTGATTTTTGTCTCTACACGCTTGTGCTGTTCTTTTGTACTCCTCCTTAGCCATGTTTCTACTTTTTGTAGGCTTCCTTTTGGATTTCCAGGTCATTAAAGAGCCATATTGGCCTATTACTATTTTTCCTACCTTTCCTTTGCATTGGGATAATTTGCTGTTGAGCCTTTGATATTGTCTCTTTGAGAAACAGCTAGCTCTCCTGAACTCCTTGTTCTCTTAGATTTTCTTCCCGTAGGACCTGCCCTACAAGTTCTCGGAGTTTGTTAAAGTCTGTTTTTTAAAGTCCATTGTCCTTATTCTGCTGCTCTCACGCCTCCCTTTCCTTGGAATGATGAAATCTGTCATTTCTTGATCACTTTCCCCATGTTGGCTTCAACTTTCAGATTTGCAACCAATTCCTCCCTGTCAGTCAGAATGAGCTCTACATTGGCTGTCCTCCTGGTTATTTCCCCCACTTTCTGAAACTAAAAGCTACCCCTAAGACACTCCAGGAGTTTACTGGACATTTAGCCATTTGCCATATTGTTTTTCCAGATGTCAGTCCCGCATTACTATTAGGTCTTGTGTTTTGGCTATTCGTTATTTGTTCTAGGAATGTCTCATTCGCCTACTCCGCCTGATATGGTAGTCTCCCCTTTTATCTTCACCCAGAGACTTTCACCTGGTCTGCCTCTCACCTCCTTCTGGACCTCAGAACAAGGGCGTATAATATTCTTGATGTATAACACAATAGTTCCTCCCTTTTTTACCCTGCCTGTCCTTCCTGAACAAGCTATCCCCCTCTGTACCAATCTTCCCGTATTGAGATTTAACCCACCAAGTCTCTCTGAGGCCAATTAAGTCATAATTTAGCTTCTGAACTAATATTTCCAGTTTTTATTGTTCATTCTCCATACTTCTTGCATTTGTGTATAGTCATGTAAGGTGTTGAGCAGACTCTCCCACTATTAGAATGAAGTTTTCTATCACATAGCACAGGTACAACCAGCTTTCCTTAATTCCTCCGCCAGCGTCTTGCATAATGAGGCTGACAAACCTCTGAAAAGTAAGCAGGTAACTCAGCTGATATGTTACAATCATAGAATTTTAACACAAATTCACACATTATTTATTACATTTGGTCATTATGGGCAAGGACTGAACTGAAACTCTTAAACTCACGGTATGTCTACACTAGAAAAATAAGTCTGAGGTCTCATATTAGGTTGAATTACAGCCTACAGACTTACTGTTCTATTATTAGGTATCATCTAATCCCCCATTGCCAATGCAGAGTTGTTGCCTAGAACACACTGGGCCTGCTTCTCATTTACACCAAAAGGGCATTAAAGTGAGTGTAAATGTAATTTACACCCCCTTGAAGGTCCCTTTCCACTACCTGAGCCGTGCAAAGTGGCCTATGTGTACATGAGAATTCAGCCCACTATGGAATGCTTTGTGCTATCTACCTAATGGTATATAGCCAACAGGCAGCTTAAAGTCTGACCTCTGTGAATTATTATGTTCAAACTACCCTCCTTGGGTCAGTGATGCGCGTCCTCACCAGGAGCCCATCCACCAACCTAAGAGGGGCAGAGTGGGGAGCTGAGAGCCCGGTCTCTCAGCTCTGCTGGCAGCTCCCTGCCAGGAGCCTGGCAGCCCCACACAGGCTCCCGGAGGGCTGTCCCCCACCCCTCCGCTCCCTGTTCCCAGTGGGAAGCTGGGGGAAGCTGCCCTGGGCTTCTCACCCCTGGGGAGAGGGGTCCAGCTGTCCTGGCTTCTCACTCTCCCCTCTCCCTCTGCTTCCAGCCAGGAGCAGGGCAGCACATCAATTTCACAGCTCGGGGAGCCCTGCCATTGACAAGGCTGCCTGGCTCCCAGCTGGAAGCTGGGGTGGGGAGAAGCCACCGGGGCTTCTTGCCCCAGCTCCCAGCCGGGAGTGGGGTCCAGCTGCCCAGCTCTGCAAGGGAGCTGGGGGCAGCGGGGCCCTAGTTGCCCGACTTTCTTGTGAATTTCACAGGTCCTGCCATGAAAGTGACATGACAGTCAACAGCCGATGACAGGGACATTGTCTACACAGACACCGTGTCGCCCTAACGACACCAACCTAAGACTTACACCTCTCATGAAGGTGAAGTTCTGATGTCGGTGTAGTACGGCACTTGCATCGGTGGGAGGGAGGCTATCGTGTAGACCCTGACATAATTAGGCCAGCCCGTAGTTAAGCTTCAGAGGTATAACGCTGGCTGTGATGGCTCTCTCCTCCTTGCAGAGCTAATCTTACCCGCAAAGCCATTCATCACTTGCACTTCTGAACGGGAGAGACATCAGTTTTAGCAGAGGTTCAATCAATCTTCCTGACTATACTCACTCCACACAGGCAGGCTGATACGTTGCTGTATACCACAGATTTCCTTCACCCAGGAGTTCTTGATGATGACCGTACGAGCTTGAAGTAGGTACTTGCGGACAGAGTCTTCTCGCTCATGCCAGATCTCAAATGCCCGGTCATCTCCTTCCACCAGGTCGTTCACATCTATGTGGGATAGCTGGGTGACAGGGAGGACAGTAAGAAAGTCAATGAAATGTCTTCAGTCGCATGACAGAAATTAGACACGAGTCTGAACCAAAACCCTGGCTCCCAAGAAAGCCCCAACATTTAGGAAAGTTCAGATCTAGATCTAATCTTTCTGAGTCAGAACCAGGGCCACCCAGAGGATTCAGGGGGTCTGGGGTCTTCGGCGGTGGGGGGGCCCCCGCCGCCGAATTGCCGCCGAAGACCCGGCACTTCGGCGGCGGGTCCCGGGGTGGAAGGAGCTCCCGCCGCGGGTCTTCAGGGCACTTCAGCAGTGGGTCCCGGAGCGGAAGGACCCCCCGCCGTGAATTGCCGCCGAAGACCCGGAGTGGAAGAAGCTCCGGGGGCCCGGGCCCCCCATGAGAGTTTTCCGGGGCCCCTGGAGTGAGTGAAGGACCCCCTTGAAGGTCCCTTTCCACTGCCTGAGCCATGCAAAGTGGCCTATGTGTAAATGAGAATTCAGCCCACTATGGAGTGCTTTGTGCTATCTACCTAATGGTATATAGCAAACAGGCAGCTTAAAGTCTGACACCTGTGAATTATTATCTCCAGGAAAAATAACTACTTAATGTTAAAAGAATATTCCACTTGATCTACAAGCCAGCATCAACAGAAAAGCAATGCTGAGATCTTAATGACAGAGGACGATACATTGTGAGAAACAACACAGGCAGGAGCAACATGAAGAGAAACTGCACAGCAGGTACTATACGGAGAGCAAAACAATCCAGTTGGGAAACACAGACTGTGCATGTGATTGTCACATAACAATGAGACGGGGCTTTTCAAAGGGGCCTAGGGAAGTTAGACCACCCAACACCCATTGACTTTTAGTAGGAGTTGAGCATCTCAATCTGAAAATCCAATCTGAATTTCTTATAATTATACACACAATTAACTTGTGGAATTTATTGCCATGGGATGTTGTGATGGACAAAAGTATAACTGGGTTCAAAAAATAACTAAATACATTCATGGAGAATAAGTCCACCAATGGCTATTAGCCAGGATGGTGAGGGATACAACCCCATGCTCAAGGTGATCCTCAACCTCTGACTGGTAAAAGCCAGGAGTGGAAGACAGGAGCGGATCCCTCCAGAATTTCCCTGGTCTGTAAACTCTCCCTGGAGCTGTGGTACTGGCTACTGTCAGAGACAGGATACAGAGCTATGAGGACCATTGGTCTGACCCAGCATGACAGCTCTTATGTGATATTCTTATACTATGGGGACAAATGACTTCAGATGGGCCTGCCCAATTCTTTTGTTGGCAGAGGGCAATTATTGGAAATACAGCATTAGACTGAAATGGAAACTATTCCAATTTACTGACTTGAAACCACCTTGGTCCAAATTCGCCACCTGGCTAATTTCATTGGCTTCAATGGGCTTCCTGCTGGGGTGAACATAACTTCCTATATGTATCCTGACTAATGCGCAATGAAATTCTGTTCTTTTGCTGTCTGGTGGTTTATGACATATATTCTACCTGACTCGGAGAGCTAACAAATGTATTGCAGGTTCTATCTGTGTTGTAGGGAATTTTGGAAACAAAAGAACCATTTGAAAGGATCAGTGAAATGTCATGTTTTCTGATGACCAGCAGCTGCATATCAAGAGAGAGAGAAGTAGACGGAAAAAAAAGAAAGCAATTGTACTGGTGGGGAGGTAAAAGTAAGGGTTAGACCTTCATCATGTTCTTGAAGATGTAGCTGTAGGTGTCTGTCTTGGTGTCTCGCTTGGGTTTGCAGATCAGGATATAATTCTTGAAGAGGAAGACATGTCGGTTGTGACCTTTCCATGCAATTCTGGCTCCCGGAGCTCCTTCCCACACTATGAAATGACCCTGGAAAAGAAAGCAGGAAATAATAAGTAGAAATGATTGCTGAACTACTTTCATGGCATCTCTCTATCACTTCCCAGCTACTGAACAGCAATTGTTCTGTGTTCCATCCTCCATTCCATCCACCTTGGCTTTTATTGCAACATAGCAGATGATTGTCACCATTACATGTGATGCATTCAGAATGACACGACTCCTAATCTGCGTACACAGTTTTAGTTCCAACATTATCTTTTAAATTACTCCTTTGCCTACAGATAAATACGGGACATAACTCTCCAGGATTGCCAGCCAGGCATCTTTCACCAGGGCTAAAGCTACTAAAAAATTAAATATAATTTCAAATGATGTCCTGTGTGGTATCTTGAAATCCATCCATCCATTTCTAAAGAGACAGGCAGAGAGGCAGAAAGATCTTCTGAAGTTATATGGATTGTGAGGGCTAAGATATTGAGAAACAAATCTCATGATTTCATATAGAGCACATACAATGTTACCCATGTTGACTTGAATGGATATGCATTTTAAAACTGAGCTTTAAAAACAAAAGTCTATTACTTGGGGAAACATATGCAATGAAAACGTAAGGCCAAATTCTAGTTCCATAGGTGTAATTGGAAAAGTCTCACCAACTTCAACGAGAACAGGATTTGGTCCATATATTTTTGGCAACATATACTGTGGACACCTTAATCAGCACAAGGGTGCATAAAATGAGCCATTAAACATGCCCCAAACAGGATTTCCTCCTGTTTGGAAGGTGAGTTGTGAAGATAAACACCTATATTACCCATGGGAAAGGGACTAATTTCTATGCTCAGCGGCTCCCAAGCTTAGTCAATCCAGAAGGTCCATCTCTGTCACGTTCTACAATTTATTACACGCAACAACACAGAATTAATGATAATCACTTTGGTGGGTTTTAAGCTGATTTTCTGTTTCAAATGACAATTTGTATAGAAGCCACTAAAGAATATGGACCACTTAAGGCTTATCAAAGGCAGGAAGAGCATTAAGCACTAATTGTCCTCATTCAGAGTTTCTAATTACCTGTCGAATGGGTTCTCCTAGAATTTCCAGAGTCCCTGGATAGTTCTCAATGAGCGAGATATGGAGGTTGTTTTCTGCACGCTGGGTGAGCGCAGACACAATGGCATAAGCCTGCTCCAGCAACGCACAGTTTTGGCTATTTCTTGCTTTATTTCGGATTAATTCCTACAAGTGAACAAAGCAGCTGTTACTGGACATTTCCAAGAGTTTGCATTCTACTGGTATCCTCATGCAGTCCAGACATCACTCGGTGGGAGTCCGTAATCCAGCTCTCCGTTCGGGGCCACCTTTGCCCCACTTTTTCACCACTTGTTGGACAGCTTCTTTCCATTCCACATGCATGGCCTCTTTGACTAACCACACCACACTGCCCTTCAAACAGTTATTACTGAGTGGAGACAAGGCTGAAGTGAACCCCATACTTGTCTGGCTGATTGAAAACTGAACAGTGAAGAGATCCACATACTTATCAGCGTATTTCTAATGTAATTATCACAACGGTATCAAGGCACCACAATGAGGCAAACAGTCAAGGGATGGTGCTAAAACACAACCGTCAATGCAGTGAAAGTAAGAAGGGAAGGATATGCAGCAAATTGCTGCCAACGTCAACCTACACTTTTCTGCCAAAATGAATGTAAATATTACATTTGTTCTTCTCTTTCATTTTCAGGTAGTGTTTGTGCAGGGGCTCCGAACAAGCATCAGGAGAACCTTCAAAAATTTTGGTGTGCAGGGCCAGACAAGTGTGCATAATTCAGAAGCTTGTTTGAACCTTCTCCAAACTATTTAAATCTCTTAAATTTGTAAAATCTGTATTTGTAAAAATTTAGCAATTTTGGGGGCTCCTGATATTATTTCCTTCTACTCCGACTGAAAATACAACAAGAAGGGGTATGTTGACACTCCGCTTCTGGTCCTGGCTGGAACATGGAAGCATAGAAGGAGCACAAATATAGAATCATGGAATCTTAGAAATGTAGGGCTGGAAGGGACCTCAGGAGATCATCTAGTTCTTCCCCCCAGGTTGAGGCAGGACCAAGCAAACCTAGATGATCCATCACAGGTGTTTGCCAAATCTGTTCTTAAAAACTTCCAATGACAGCGATTCCACAACCTGTCATAACCTATTCCAGAGATTAGCTATCCTTATAGTTAGAAAGTTTTCCCTTGCTTCAGATTAAGCCCATTACCTCTCGTCCTATCTTCACCATCCTTTTTAGAACAGCCCTTAACATATTTGAAGTCTGTTATCAGGTCCCCTTTCAGTCTGCTTTTCTTAAGACTAAACATGCCCAGTTTTATGTAGTATATAATAAACATTACAACAAATATTGTGTGTATGTATACATTTATATATATGTATATAAATAAATTCTCAGATAGTGAAATGTTTCAGAACCTTCAGAAATTATTTGTTTTGGGCTCAGCTCTTGAAACAGCAAAGATTTGCAATAGGTGGGAAGGTAGCTCTTACATTATTTTCCTTGTCTTACCTTGAATTCCGCCTGCAAAAACGGGGAGGGAAGTTGCCTCTGTTGACAAGTCAATGACATGTGCATTGAAAACGAGTTGCTTTTATAACAGATATGTTGCCACACATGTGACAAATTTATATTCTTCATGGATGTAACCATGTTTAGAGTATTCAGCTAAAGCTGGGCAAACCGTGTGGTGTCTGAGACTTTGTGAACCTCTCAAATGATTTAAGTTTACAAAAGTATTCAACGTGCACAAACCTTGACCCTGATTCTGATCTCTCTTGCTCAAGAGTAATTCCAATGGAGTAACACTGGTGTGAAGCCAATGTAACTGATCAGGTTCATCTTCTCCAAAGGGTCTCCAAAATGGAAGGCAAACCCATCACACTACGAGTGGTAAGAATATATATTGGAAGCTCCTTACCTTGATTATAATTTGATACTGCTGGATCCTGTTTATGGGTCTCTCTAAATAATGCTGCAGTGGAGGTATAGGTGGCTGAGAAGGATCCTCACTGGCTAACGTCTCCTCTGTATATCTCTGGGGGGAAATATACAACTATAAAGAATGCGATGCAAAAAATGGCCAAAAATGACAAGATCACACAACACTGACCCATATACCTTAGTCTTCCCAGCAAGTAAGTCTGAGCATAATAAGAAAGAGTAAATCCCACAATCCTTTACCCCCTCCAAAACTGTGCAGCCTCACCACTCTATCACTTTGCTTTCTTGTTGCATCCCTTCCCTGTTGGTTGTCTACTTGGTAAGCTGCTTGGGGGCAGTGACTTTGTCTTCTTACTTGCCTGTAAGGCACCCAGCACACTGTTGATGCTATAATTAATAATAAAATGCAACATGCTGCTTAGAAAATTGCACAATATGATGGGAAGGAGCAGCACTTTTTTCTCTAATGGTAGACATCTGGTTAACATTGTATCCTTGCGCTCACATACAGTGTATGTCTTAAAGGCACCATAGCTCTCATCAGATTCTGTTAATTATTATTGCAAAGTCTGTGTATTGATCAAGACTCCCAGTACTGGCTGGCCTCAGACAGAAACAGGCTGATCATTACTAAGATCTAAAGGAGCATGTGCGTTTTCAAATGAAAGGTCCTAGGTTTGATCCTCCTTGACAATACGTATGTATGTGGCTATGGCTCCTTACAGTAATAGCACTCTGAATTTTGCTGCCATTAATGAGACCTTCATCCCACTGTGAAGATTACTAAACCATGTTATGTAATAATTTCCTACCTATCTAATAATCCTGTTATAATATTATATATGCAACTCCAAATGACAGGTTTCAGAGTAGCAGCCATGTTAGTCTGTATCCGCAAAAAGAACAGGAGTCCTTGTGGCACCTTAGAGACTAACAAATTTATTTGTGCATAAGCTTTCGTGGGCTACAGCCCACTTCATCGGATGCATAGAATGGAACATATAGTAAGGTTAAGGTTAAGGTTCAGCATCATCGACCCTGTAACCAGATAACAGTCACCCCTTGGCCGAGTGGTAGCATTCGAGGCCTTGCAAGTCAGTG